CAGACTAGAAGAGGAGAGGAGCTGCAAAAAAGTCAGATGGTGCGATGGGTCTTCTTCTGCATGAGAGACCAAAACAAAGACCATAGTACGCAGTTTTTTGCCCAAAAAAACGTGGTAATGAGGTCAAACTTCTAGATATCTTCTAGATATGATCGTCATTCATGTATGATTGTGTTTTGCAGTGTGTAAAATGGCTCCCATGGTTGTTTCGCCCAGAATCACTTTGTTACACAGGTATTTTTAAAAAAAAAAAAAAATTTTTAATTCGTTTTGCAAAAGTGAATTGTACACATGTGTGTACTCTGTCGCCCCCCCCCCCTCTAGCCCCCTTTAAAGGGGGTGGAAAGGGGGTGGAAGAAGTTAGGATTTTATTGTCATATACATATACACATACACGAAATTCGACTTCTGCATTTGACCCATCCCTGCATATAGGGAGCAGTGGGCTGCCAATGATAGGCGCCCGGGGAGCCGGGGGTTCAGTGTATCTATCTGTCTGTCTGTCTGTCTGTCTGTCTATTATCTATCTGTCTATTATCTGTTATCTGTCTATCTATTATCTGTCTCTCTGTCTATCTATTATCTGTTATCTGTCTGTCTATTATCTGTCTGTCTATTATCTATCTGTCTATTATCTGTTATCTGTCTATCTATTATCTGTCTCTCTGTCTATCTATTATCTGTTATCTGTCTGTCTATTATCTGTCTGTCTGTCTATATCTATTATCCGTCTGTCTGTCTGTCTGTCTATTATCTGTTATCTGTCTGTCTATTATCTAAACAACCGATCAGTGTTGAAATCAACAGGAGAGCTAACGTTAGCAGCACAGTGAACATTTCTATTGTATTTCCTTTTTTATAATAATAATATAATAAATTAACTTAAATTTGAACAAATTTTGCAGTATTGTTCTCATATTTTGCCTTTTATGTAAAATGTAAATGAATGTTTAGGTTGAAACGTTGGTGATACAAAGTCATGAGTTTTAGAAACAAACATTTGATTCCCAGCTTTAGTCACGTTGACTTTATGCCCAAAAATAGTCACAAAAACACTTGATTTGTTTGGTTCCAGTTGTTTTTCAGCCATCAGGTGACAAAAAGCAGATGTCACAGATTTTCGTAACTTTAACCACAACATCATGTGCAGCAGCACCATATTTATATTTCAAGGAAGTTTTTATTAACAGACTTTCTTCTGCTCTCAGAATAGTTTTCTCAAGAGGATCAAACGTCTTTGTTTTGATCTCATGTCCTCTGTTTGCCTGCTCATGTCCAGGGTGATGTGTAATAATGTACATATAATAATGTACATTCTTGGATATTAAATAAAGAGGCTGTGCTGTCGGGTTAGAGGTACATGTGTCCCTGTGATTCTGTAGCTTCTCTTCACTAGATTTGAATCTTAACCTCGACCTCATCGCCAACCGAACGGAAACAAAACGAGACTTCTGTCCACGCGTACGTATCACTTGAAACTGAATACTTGTGCTGATAGATCAGATCATTTAAATGTGTATTATCATTGGACTATGGTAAAAAATGTGGTTTCACAAAGTAGCATGCAAGGTATCATAATTCATATTATCATTGTATAGTGAGACGTGTTTGATTTGCCTGTTTTGTCAAAGTGTGTTAAATATAAATTGTTTATTTTGATCTGTAGTTTTCTCCACTCACCTTTTTGAATAAACTTTAACACATTTAATAACTTAAAGACTTGTCTTTCCACCAAACCTTTTATAGCAGCAATAGTATTAATAATACCAGACAAGCAGATGTTTTAAAACATTTCCTCAAAGCCTCTTCAAATTTATTTTCTGTCAGGAGATTACACACACACACACACACACACACACACACATCCCTTAAAACAGGACATCCCTTAAAACAGACACGACTCATGGAAGATGACAGAGACAGTATCACAGACTGGTTTCATGTCATCTCTAATGTAATATTTATTACCAGATACTATTTAATCAATGACAGTACAGGGCTGTCCTGAAGATCCACTAAAAGTCACAATATGGCCGCCTGCAGTTCACAGGAGGCGCAACATTTGTAAAATGCCAAAAATACCATTTTACATGTCATTTGTCTTGCTGCAGAGATTCCCTGTTCGACATCATATTCTACAGATGTAAAACCTTTAAACACTGCAGGAGTTTTTTAATTATAATACTATTGAACACCATTATTTTGCAGCGAAAAAGCGACATCAATTTTATTTTACAAACTTTATTACTCTTTTTAATCTTGACAAATGCAGCGCAGACCAGATCCACCCTCTTACCTTTCACAATAAAAGCACTACACATATGACGTGCACAGGCGAGTATTTTACTTTTTCGTATAGTTTATTCTTCAAACCCCAATAAACATCCCACCATAATGATTTTTCAATAAAATAGAATAACGATGTAAACAATGATCATTCCCTTTTAATATCACACATCATATGCAATCATTGGAATTAGTTTTTCTAAATATTTCTGCTCAGGTGACGTGAAAGTCTCTCACCTATAACAGTTAACCAGAGTTTCCCAAAATATTACTGAAACAACAACTCTGGGAATGAGTGGCACTGTCTCACCCCACTGGCAGATTTTAATACATGAGGCTGAATATGAGACTAAATTAAGTTTCACCTGTTTAGAATAAAATGCAAGTGATTGGAGATGACAAAGGAGAAAATAGTTTTAATCTGAAGACTCCACCTATCTTATCTAAGCAGTGACCTACTTCTGAGAAAAGACAAAGTGTGCAGCACAATTTGGCACGCTGCTTTAAGGAGACTGAGAAGGAACAAACCGTCAACCACTTCCTGTTGTTGGATAATAACAAAAATATAGGTCTATAATTAAATTTGATATGTAACTAGAGTACATCACTCGTGTAGACAGTCAAGTGAAGAACGTGACAATTTAAAATGTGGCATGACTGAAAAGATGGCAGCACACTATGTAGCCCTCTGAAACAAGGTCATAAACAGGAAAAAAATTGTTTAGTTTAAATTAAAATAACTGATAATTTTAGTGTAGTTTTGTTCTTTGGGTGTAACCTTCAAATCAACTCGCACCTGAATGAAGCTTTCTCTTGTACCAACACAAAAACATCGTCAAGTAATCAGTTATAAAAGAGGTTTATGTGTTATTGACTTGTCTCTGCTCATGGGTGTGGGTGATTTGTCACCAAAAATCCCCCCTCTTAACTGCAAGGAATGACTACAACTGGGGTTTTCCACAAAGCATTTTAATCTAAAAATAAATTGATGGCTAGGCGAAGGAAAAAATGACTTATAAGTTACAACACAGAGATTCAACATGGCTTCATTCGACACTGACTGTAGATAACTTTTATCTGTTTTTTCTGGTCTCCATCTCCAGCCCTCTGCTCTGTGTGTCGCACGTTGCCTGATTAGAAGAGCTGTTTAAATCAGGTATCATGAGTCAAGCGTGAACAATCTGATCGTCACGAGGGATCAACAGTCCTCCTCCCTTTGTTCCCCTGCAGCTCTGGTATGTTTGAAGGTCACATGGTATGTTTGAAGGTCATATGTTTCAATAGCAACTGCGAAGGAGGAAGAAAAAAAAAAAAACCGCAGGCCACAGGCAGCAGTGACATCACATCATGCCATGTCGCGTCTCTGTGAAGACGCAAGCAAGTCAGGAAAAACGAGTTTGGGGACATTCTGTTCTCCTTCCCTCCTTATTTTTCTGCCTTGCTATTCTGTGGTTTTATATAACCGGACAGTATCTGCAGACGGTTTGATTGACTCAAGCGGATTATGGAAGACGCTCATTCTTTCTCAGTCCTCAACGAGAGGCTGAGACCTCGATCCACCGCCAATACACAGCTCCACTCCTCTCTGAGCAGACTGGAGGACAGACAGGTGTCCTCGCTCAGGAGCAAATCGTCATCCAGCCGACCCACAGTTGTGCCAACAGCACCAGAACCGAAAGTCTCCAAAGCCGAACCTGAAGACGACTCGAAGCAGGAAAGTTCGGTCTCTGATGAAGACAGCTCGATCCTCATCACCGAGATCAATTTAAACGACTTTAGAGGAGTGGAGCTGGCTGACGACAACAGAAGCATTTCCTCGTCTGAGGAGAAAGACCAACCAGGTGAGCTGGCCTCAGCGGGGTCAGGTCGTTCCTCAAAGTTGGTACCTTTGGACGGTGAAGGTGAGAGCTCCTTCCAGATGAGCTACATGAACAGGACATTACCAGACTTGCTCAACGGTGGCAAGATGCTCGGCAGACGTCGGACAGTGGGACATGTCTCAGAGACGGTAGGAGGACAGTCTTTATGTGTGTGTTTGAAGTGAGGGAGAGTTTGTTAGTGTCCACAGACACTTTTCTTTTACACTGCATGACTTTAAATCTAATCTGCAACAAACAGACTTGTCGAACAACAAAACCTGTTATTCAGGGAGGGGTCGGTCCCATCGGCCAATCGGGAGTATCGGTATGACAAACAGAAAAGCACAGAATTTAAGATGCATATTTGTTCCCAGAACACCAAGAACTCCCGTACTGCAACAAAACGTAGTGTGATGAGTGTAGATGAGTTTGATGCTCTGACGTCAAAGAGCGATAAACTTCAGTTTGCAGTGAAGAACTTTTATGATTTTACAGCTGACAAGGCTTGATTTGTGGTTAAGAGTGTAACGATGGAAACAGCGTTGGTGAGAAATGTTTTGTGCCTCATACTTTGTCAATAACTTTCATAACTGTTACCTTCATGTGTCTTTGAGTGTCTCTATGAATGCATTCTTTCGTGCATATTTGCAGTGTTTGCAGGCGCTGACTAACTCCTCAGCTTGCGCGACTGCATTTCTTGTTTACAGTTTCACTCAGGACTCTAGATCAGCAGTTTCTGTTTACATTGTGTAAAAAAAACTTGTGAAAATGTACTGATTATGTATGTATTACTGTTTATTGTTTTTGCAGCTTAAAGAAGTGCGCAGAGAGGTGGAGCTATCTCGGAAACGGAGTATCAAGCTGAAGGCGCAGGTGGACAAACTACAGGAGAACAGAGATGGACCGGCATGGAGCCAGCACAGAGAGCGGGTAAGAATACACACACCATCAGGGCAAAGTGTGTACATCACCTCCGCAGAACTCTGCAGGATTGTTATCATTTCTTTCTGTTCCTTTCCATCCCCAGGTCACAGAAGAGGTTCTGTCCATTCTGCGGCTGCTGCGCCCCCTTACAGAGTCGGGGTCCAGCCTTGGTCCTAAAACATCTCATGGGGAAAACCACCTGGACACTTCCCTGGTCCAGCTGCAGAGTGTGGCCCGCGAACTGGCAATCAACCACACCAAACAGGTAAAGGCAACACCCGCTGAGATGAAGCTCCTCACCTGTTAATCATGTCAACCTCAGTTTGAGTTCATTTTTGTGGGCGTGTTACCCAGAAGAATGTCCGCTTTGCATGTAAACAAGTAGAACTAAAGGAAAGGTGGCAGCTAATTATAACTGACTATATTAACTTGATACAAGAAGTGGCAAGACTTTTTCACCTGTACAAAAAAAGAGCCATGAATGCATTTTTGTCAACACAGCACAGAATTTCTGCCATCAACAAGATAGCCCAGCTATGTGGCCTGGCAGGTTTACAAGCAGCAGTATCAGTGATCTGAGTCTAGAGAAAGTCAGGAGGCGTGTGACTGACGGTGGGATTGGATCAGAATACTGTTTCAAAGTCAGTGAGATTAGAGACAGAGAATAACAAGAGTCCTGCCCAAACATAACCTGCCTCCCTTTCTTGTTCGTTCAATAGTTCAACTCTGGAAAAGGAAAAGGATCAGAGGAGAGCGCTATTCTGCAGCAAGCGTTACGGGACAGAGATGAGGCCATAGAGAAGTAAGTACAAACACGACGCACGCATTCACCTCCTCTAAAGAACTAATGAATCAAGAGTCAAGAAACAAGGAAACATGATGTCATTCTTTCTGTTCCGCTGTGCAGGAAGAAGGCGATGGAGACCGAGCTGCTGCGGAGTAAAACAGAGATGATGTTCCTGAACAACCAGCTGCTGGAGGCTGTGCAGAAACGTCTGGAGCTGTCGCTGGAGGTCGAGAACTGGAAGGTAAAACCTGAGACAAAAACAGTGAATATACTGAACAGAGAAAGATAAATAAATAACTAAAATATAAATGAAATACAGAGTTATATTGCGCGAAATAGAGAAGTCAAACGGAAGTAAGACATAGAGTACACACACACACAATTAAGTAAACATGATACTTTCGGGACTCGGACCGTGTTCAGCTAAAACACACACAATACAAAAAAGTCCACACACATTACATTCAGCACATGCAGTGTGTATGCAGGCGTTACTGCCAGCTGATATCCTGCCAGTGTTGTGTGTTGGCCTCGGCCCTCATCTGGTGAGCGTCTGGCTCCCTGCAGGGTCAAACTTAAACTACTTTGCAAGCGTTGTTGAGTTCACTGGTGACAGCAGCAGCAGCGTCTGCTTCAGCTGTCACCTCGAAATCCAAAGAAATTTCACCTCAACATGCTTTCATAAAAGAAACAAAGAATTAGTTTTTTTGTGTATCATATTGCACATTTTGCAGAATTGTTCATTATTTGGAGCTAAAATACCAAAATGTCAGTATTGCCATTATTTTTTTATTCATTCTATATCGGTCAATTCCTTCTCTGGATATGATCGAACCCTCACCGACTCCATTTCTTTTGATATTTGTCTTTGGTGTATTTTAATTTGACATTTTTTAGTAAAGTTGCACTTTGTACCTTTAAACTGTCTTTTGGTCAGACAGTGGAACACAATTTCATTTGTTTCCCTGTATGGATAGTGCTTTGCTTTGTTGAATGTCAGTTATCTGAATCTTTTGTTTCAATTTTTATTGTCTCAAATTATAGTACTGACTTCATACAACTTGTTTCACAATTACTTCCACCATCAGTGGACAAACTAAGCCCATAAAAAGGCATCTTTATGACCAATTTGCACACTAAACCCTTCATTTGTGACAATTTCATCCTTTTTTTTTTTAATGTATATCTTGTGCTCTGACAGCCTGTTTGTTTCCCTTTGATTCAGGAGGACGTTCAGCGTATCATCCACCAGCAGTTGCTGACTCAGCAGCAGGCAGAGCAGGCTCAGAAGAAGCCCTACCGCCTGGGCATCCTGAGGAGAAACAAAGCAGCAACCCTCCAGCGGCCAACAAACTTCCCGGCTGTCGCTCCCACAACCAACCCCAACCAAATCTTCATCCCCAGAGCTGCAACTTTGCCTGCTCCGACTACCAGCACGCCTCCTCCTCCCCAACGCAACTGGAGGGACAAGCTGAGGAGGACCAAGAACGCTCCTGATGGAGGCCAGACTGCAGCGGCGCAGGAGTCCTGGGGAAAGGGCGGCGGCGACTTCCAGGTCATATCACTCGATTGAAGCAGAGACGACTTTGCACCGAGTACAACTACTCATGTCTGGCAATTTAAAGTCCCCCTCCAGTCACAAATGTGTTTAGCTTATCATCCACTTGTGCAGAGTTTGACACAAGAAGGCTGTTTTCACGTTCATCTGCTGAAGGGGGAAAGTTTCTCTGTGCTCATTTAAAATCCAACACGTGTACGTACATGAATGATTTGTGACATCACAGATAGTAACCAATGGTGGTCCAGTATGCAACTTATATTAAGTGTGGTGTGGAAACACAAAGCCTCCGGTGCACAAACACTGAGAATGGACTTTTCATTGAGTTCGGAGACATCTTGAGTCCAGCAGTTAAACCTCTGAAATTAATAATATTTACATATTCATACATTCAATGAGGGAGTAGATGTCATTTAAGAAGTTTTAACAAGGTAATTGAACCTCTTTGTGGGAGGGGGTCTTCCATATATTCTTGGGAAAACATGCTTTGGATCTTTGACTATTGCAATTTACTCATAAATATAACTGGGATCATAAATGACCCATATACTGGTTTGATACTGTGACACTTCACTACATCACTTTAGATCTTTCATTGTCTGCACATGTTTTTATTGTTGTATTTTCAATAATCAAAAGAAAAACGCATAAACTTTGTCTCAGATTTGTCATTTTATTGTATAATATCAGTTTGTACATTTTCAATTATATATAATCAACCCACTCCTATATGCTTCTTTGTCAAATGTATATATGCCACTATCTAGAATAAGTGCCCCCATTGTGGCAACATGTTGAACAAACTGAGACGTATATAGCACAGCAAAGTTACACCTGATGACAAGAGAAAAGGCATGCTCATAGTGGACCACAATACAATCCTGAACAGATGATTACAGTCTTCTAACAGTTCTCAGTAGGATTGAATAAATTCAATTTCCTATATTGTTGACACAGAGAGTTCCCCCCTTTAAACAGAGACACTCGTACCACTGCAACACTACAGAAGCTGAAGCAGGGCCTGCATTCAAACATCAGCGTCACCCAACAATCTATTCATAATTAGCAACAAGACAAATCTGTCCTGTGGCTGAGGACAGGGGGGAGGGGGGGGGGGGGGGGGGGAACTAGAGCGTTATAAAAACTAAGAGTTTAACTCATAAAATCCGACCGTTTAAAGCCTTTTAGACTTCTGTACTCACACCAAAACGAACACAAAACACAAGATTGTTGTAAACATCTAGCGCCATGAAGGGATACACACCCCCATCTGTTAAGCTTCCTTGTGAGAAAAGTCACGCAGAACTGGCAACCCAGCTGCCAATCGATAGTCTGCTAGTCATTATTGAACAATAAAAGTTGTGTTTCACTTATCAAGTCTTACAGAAATGGAAAAAGGAGCTCTCGACAGAAGAGGCACACATTTACAACACCCTGCTTATTCACACAGATGGCAGTTTCACTACAGGACTGTCCTGCTCCAAACAGAGGAAAGAAATAATATTAACACTGTTTTACGATTAGATAACAACATACATTGCTGCAGCATTTATTTTTGAGATACCCATATAGGCTCGTCTTTATTCATAAAGATAAGTGAGATACGGATAATAACTCGATGAAACATGTTTAATCAAAAGACTGCGTGGACAAACACAAAGACATAACTACGTTACTACGGCGTATTGCCAGACAGACGGGAGAATAGTATAATCGTTTAATAATTCGCATATCCACTTGTGTGACCTGAGATATTCAGGAAACAGATTGTGACAATACTGCATTTGAATGTTTCAGATTGGTTTTCATACATTATGTTCATAGATTATAGATCATATTGCCATAAAAATATAACCAGCGCTCTCGATGACCTCGAGTCATTGACCTGTAAAGCCTCACCTCTGACGCACAGCAGGTACACGGAGGGGAGGACCATGAGAAATAGTTCCAGGCCAAACTATCGAATATACATATCACAATTATCAACATCAAAATAAGTCTCTACAACAAACCATCTGTACACGTAAGGTCTGCATTACAGCCTCTCTTGCAGAGCTCAAAGCTCCCGACACAACACCAAACTCCCTCGGGCAAAGAAACATCTTTTACTTCGAATAATCTTAACTCTGCTTCTCGTATATACAGTATTCGTTTCATTCCAGTGCCGTCCAGTACGTTCATAACCAACCGTCTTACTGCTGGTCCACCTCAGCCGTCCCAGAATATACTTGGCCTAACGCAACTTTTCCTACTGGCATAACATAAAGAAAGCACTCTGCAAATGAGAGTTTCTTTGGATTAGTACATCACCTCCTAAACAGCCCCATTAAATTATATACCGTCTACCTACCGACCAATAAAAACACATCGAAAAACCAGCCAAGCTAGTAGCACTACCTGCAGAAAACAAAAGAAATGTTCACCTACGCTACACTGCACTGCACTAATAATGTTAAGAGGAGGATTGGTTGCTGTGAAGGGCAAGTTTGGTCCAGTGTTGGCAAATATTAGCATCATCAGTGACTCCACTTGCTCTTGCTGAGGCTGCAGAATACTAACCGTCATTTTCAGTGAGGGCTCGCTCAGGAGTGCTGAGCATTGATAAAAGTCCTGAGGCGTAGACGGGAGGCAGCTAGGACTGGAGGAAGGAGCTGATGGAGCTGATGAAATCTAAGGGTTTATCTGCGTGGATCCAGTGGCTCGCATCTGGGATGTACTGGATGTCAGCGTTAGGGAACAGCCTGTGGATTTCTGGGTAATCGTCGGAGCTGGATGAGGAGTGAAGACACGGGGGGGGGGGGGGGATTAGTCATTAGAATATCAGGCAAAGCGAGGTGGTGGGAGGGCAAAAGAGACGAGAGGAGGATGAACAGGTAACGATGAAATACAGCGGGTGTGTTCACACATTCAGTTGCTGCAGTATAAATACAGATGAAGCGTGAACTAATCATTTCATCAGGGTGTTGACATGGTGCTGGTGATTTTTATCTGGTTAAATTGTACATGTATTGTCATTATTACATGACTGGCATGATGCAGGTTGTTTCTACTGAGTTTGTTTTTGAAAAAGGTTGTTCGTGCTCAGCCTCGCTTCCAGAGCAAATCATGAAAAGCCCATTTAGGAACAAGCAATGGAACTAGGCTGAGGCCATCAACGCTACAATAGATGGCATTTTAAGTATTCTAAGCTTATGTATCTGTTCCTATAAAAAAATAAAAATAAGCCATCCGTCTGTGGTGTTTTATACCTGATATAAGCAGAACTGGCTCCACCCAAAAACAATGTGGGTCCGTGATAGACTGTGTTGAAGCTGGGGAAGCTCATGATTTCTTCAAGGTGCGCAGAGATGGCCTCCAGGTTGACCCTCCAGGCATAGTGGCCATTCAGCTCCACCAGGTTAGTCAGCAGGAACTGCCGCACTGAGCGCTCCTGAGGGAGGCAAGGACAGTCAATGATTAGACGAAGACATTTCTAGTTTCACAGTTTCACTTTAAAGCAGCTACAATCCAGATTTTTATATTAAAGGATCTGTATTTAACATTCAGAGCATTAATATAGCAGCATACAACTATTGTCGATATAATATATATGATATATGATATAATAGTAATGTCTACCTGAGCAGAAATATATATTTATTATTCTAGACAAACTAGAAGGGGTGAGCAGAGAAGGAGTCCTGACCTTGACTAAACTGCGCAGCTGATCCTCAGCCATCCGCCTGGCGGTGGAACGTGGGATGTCGCTGGAGATCTTCATCTCCTGCATGGCCTTGATGTAATAGTGGAAGTTGGTGCGTGTGGTGGTCTGGGCTGGACTGATGTCCACTACCACCAGCCTCTCCACCAAACCAGACTGCAAACAGAGAGAGAGAGGTAAACCGGTAGGTAGAGAGATGTAATTGGGGGAAAACCAACCAGGACAGTTAGTTGTGGCATGAAGACCAGAGCAGGATTATTAGGTTCAGAGAGGACAGGGATGTACAGTGAGACAGATCAGGTGACGTCCAGCGAGAGGACTGCAGTGTCATTATTAAGTCGTGGCGACATTTCTCTCGGCCTGCTAACCTGCGTCAGGGCGGTCGTCATGGCCGTTTTCCCGCCCATGCTGTGGCCGACGAGGACGCACTTCTCGATGTGCAGCTGGGCGAGGAGGTGTGTCAAGTCATCGGTCATTGCTTCGTAGGTCAGCTCCGAGCTGTGAGGGCTGTTGCCATGGTTACGGGCATCTACAGTCAGCACCTAACTGGACAAAGGACAGTTAGGACACTTGGAATGGGGGGGGGGGGGAGAGCCAACAGGGTGGAAACAAGAACACTTCTATGTCAGCTGGATTCTTTCTTTTGGCTTTGAAAGTGGCAGCACCAACAAAGGCTGCATTGTGCACATAAGGTGACGAGTTTCCTCAAGCAAGCCAAAGAGCGGATTATCTCTCAGTATTTGTTACAGCGGTACGGACTGGTGAGGAGTTGTATCAAATGACTGCTTGTGCATTCCCAGGGCTGCTTGTGTAAGAGTGCTATTGTCAGGCTGCTGAGAACAAACTCAAACACATAAAGGGGAATTCTTTTTGGTGTAACAACACAGACAGGTGTGATGTCTTCATCACTGCATTACCTTTCGGCCTGTGCGCTGCACCAAGGACTTCGCTATTGAGTGGAAGTTAGATTTGCTTCCAAAAAGGCCGTGAAGAAACACCAGGGGAGTGCTGTCACCCTTCCCATCGAAGACATCGTAGGTCAGGTTGACTGGGCTGAGGGACAGAAAAACAGTTAGAAAAATCAGGTCGAATCTGGTAATGTCTGTGGTGAGAACTATGTCAAAACTACAGGAACAGTAATGCATGTAAGGTACACAACTGATGAAACTGTCAGGGAGCAGAAATGCTGATGCTGATATCAAGGGATATTATTCAAAGAGAGGAAGGCAGTGGAAGCATTGTTCAATGATATGTGAGGTATCTATTCTGCATAGACCTACTGGTTCAACATTAGGTCAACACACGTGTAGAAATACATTGTTTTTAAAAGTTTAAATGGTGTTGACTCAACTCTGTTAGGGTTGTGACTTTTTTGGATCCTTCGTTTATTTACTCAGTCTATAAAATGTGACAAAATAGTGAAAAATGCACTTGACAGAGTCTCTGAACAGAGAAAACATGAAATATTTACATTTGAGTAGACATTGGCCTATTTTTTTTTTGATGAATTACTTAAAAAATGAATATTCTGTCAGCATTTAATTTTCTGTCATTCAATGAACTGATGAATCAATAATATCTTCAGGAATAAACTCAATAATAACTTTAAGGGCCCTATGGTTTGTGATACCCAAAGGGGTGACACTGCAGAAATGATACGTTATAAATGTTTGAGTTCACGGGTCTGGGCCAATTCAAGCCCACTTAAATGAAGGATCACATATAGGATGTGGTTATAGTTAGCATTAATGCACCACCTGGCGAGCACCAAGTGCCACGCCCGCGATGTTTGTGACCTGAACAGTCGGTGCACGAGGTTTTAACTTCAGTGACGAGTGTGTGTGAGGACTTCCTGCTGTTTAAAACTGTTAAACCCTGATGCTTCAACGCTTTAGTTTGAGGAGCGCAGTGGGACGAGAGAGGCAGAGTGGACTGGTTGTATTATGCTTTGAGTGAAAGAACGAGTAGAGAAGTTGAACCAGATTGTGAAGTGCTTCGGCTCCGTCGTTCAGACAAGTGAGTACATCAACACACTGCTGATCAGAATGCCAACTACTTTGTTGCAGCAACGATGTAGTGGAGTGTGCGTGCGTGGTGTGTTAAATGGGCAGTCTCTGCTGAGCTGTAATATGTGTGTTTGTGGCTGCAGCAAGTGTGGACATGTTGTGTCTGCTTTGGTGAAGTTTTGTTCTACTGTTGAAAGAAGTTTCAGGTGCCGTTTTGTCCACAGCTCGTTTTGATTATTGTCCATGATTTTTGTTTCATTGTCTGAGTTTTCTCTCTTTTCTGATTAATTATTGTAAAGCTACACTGAAGAAGGCAGTTGTTTATTTATAATGTATAATATACATATTATGTATGCACAGACTGTAGAGTTGTTGCTGATGGTGTCTAACTTGTGTACAAGTCGATATATAACACAATCTAGTTTGTAGCCTACTCCTTAATTTGGTAGTTTTATACAACCTACTTTAGTACATTTAACACAAGTATTTTTGCTTGAGTAAAATGTCTTTAAAAGAACAGTACTTTTACCTGAGTATAATATTGTAGTACTCTTTTCACCTCTGCTAATATATTACATTGCATTGACTACAGCTAGCTAAACCTGATGCAGTCTAGTACAACAGCCCTGTAATACATCTCACCTTCATACAGAGGTTTCTAATGGTGTATTGCCTATTGTAGCTAGGCTTACCTAATAAACTGGCAGCTTAGCGTACATGTAGCATAGCATACTATATACAAAATATGACACCAATCATCGTTTATATATAGCTGCATAATAACCAAATAAAATAAAGCAACAGACAGGGAATCCATAACTAACATCCTCTTTGATGATAGCTCAACTGTGAAAGCATCGTGCTAACCGTCTGAATGTCATTTATGTAAACTGTTTAAAGTTAACCGTTACATTAGCTAACAGAGATACAAAGACACGGTGATGAATTTAACGGGCTGCTTTAAAAGACGAACATTGAGCTGCCATGTCCACCCAAGCACCATCACACCACACCGCAGCTCAGGCGGACAGAGGGCATCAGTTAGCCGGGGAGCTAGCAGGGATACCTGGATGAGCTGGCTGACCGGACCGCGGGAGCCACCGGAGCCCCTCCACACACATCCTGCTGTCCGGGGAACAAACGACACGACGGCCGGAGCCTCAGCAGTCCTCTGTGGATCAGGCGACAGAAAGCACTCATAGCAGCATATGCTCCGTTACCGGGCGATCGACAAACCGCATGTGCGTTTAAAAAAACGGCGAGAATGACAGGACTCTGATTCTATGCACGGAGCGCCCGGAGGTCGAGAAGAGCACAGCTGAGGCTGCGTCATGACGTAGCACGCACACGATAGCGTCCCGCTTGTATCCCTGAGTTTAGTCTCTCAGGCTGTATTATGAGCATAACACAATTTATATTTCTGCTGCGATGTAGTATGAATATTTAGTTTGACCCTACCCGGCTGACTTTAATCTAAAGGGTATGACTTTGTACTCATTTTAATAAAAGTGGCCGTATAAGCTGATGTGAAGAAAAAGAAAAACTTTTTAATGTTACATAATAGTTTTTTTACTTCTAGGTTTTTGTTGATTCAAATTAAACCCCCAGTTATGAGGTGAGACATGAGTTGAGATGAATGTAGCCTCTGTCTTATTTTCATAGCCTTATTAATTTGTTAATTAAAAATGACCCTAGACGTGGATCTGAGTCTTGGATTTGTTCAATATGGTTGTAGTCTTTTTTTTAAATGCATGCACTTAGCATTTGGACAATAAAATAGGAGGAAAAAGCAGCACCAAAAAGCAAAAATATACACATTGCTTTGTTGAGCCACTAGGTGGCGACAGAGCAGCACGATGTGGGCTACACCTTCTCTTCCCCAACAAAATGATTTTCTTACTGCACTGAATATAGAGCTGTAAGCTGTGAGAACAGCTGGCCGTATAGGATCAGGTCTTTCATTGCCTTGTAGACACAAGTATGTAGATATTTCCCTCACCAAGCTGCTCTTTCATTTTGGAAAATGCTAAAACGCAGTCCCCAACAATGTTGGGGACTGCTGCTGCATTGTATATGGGTTTACACTGTACATCAGGAGAGTTTACTGATGTGTATTGTATTTTATTACTTTTTGTTGTTGTATTATTTTGTATAGTGCTTATGTGCATGGCTCCTGTCATGTACAGGAACATAAAAACAATCAGACTGTGGGCCTGGAGAGCCTGGCCTCCCTTGGAAACATTCATTGCTATGGGAGAGATGTCTGCTGGGATAAAGCATGCTGTGAGCTGTCACCATAGTAATTGCATGAGACAGAGGCCGGGGGAGCGCACGGTACAAACCCACATGAGAGGGGAAGGGGAATTGGTGGATGAGTTGGCTTTTTTTTTCTTCTTCCCATTCAACATTGTGCCAAAGCTCCAGTTTTCCTTAAACTCAAGTATTAAATACTTCCAGCACCATGTTTCTGATGCTAATAGACTTTTGTCAACAATATCTTGAATCTTAAGTGATTCAATTATTTGAAATGCTGGCTTTATTTCAAATAATTTAAGTTAATTCTAGTGCTATTGTATTGACAGCCAGTTGGAAAATTGCAACCCAACAGCAGATTTAGTGTTTATCATACAATTAAAAAAATGTTATGACGAAATGCATGCAATGTATCCATATCCATTTAAAACTACAATAAAAAGTAGATGGATATATGCAGGGGAGGAAGGATGCCAATTGTTTTTCAAAAAATATCTAAGATTCAATAAACATTGATCAAATACAGAAAAAAAGAATCAAAAGACTGTTTATGACTGAATATGAAATGAAATCATTGTCAGGTATTGTTTTAAAGTTAGTTGTTCTTCCATTTGACTTGAAGATGGTCAGATTGTGCTGACATTTCGCCTCAGCCCTCCATCCCTGAGTACTGTGGTTTTACTTCTTTACTGTGTAATGAAGCTGAGCGTCAGACAGTTAACTTCAGCTCTTCTTCATGCTACACAGAGCACAGCAAAGAAAGTCTTTGTTCTCAACCTGCTCTTTTCCAAGGGCCTGCACATGCACACACGCATTACTTGCAGGTCAGTGGTGCACTTTTTTTCTTCTAGTTTTTTAAAATAGATATCTACTACATAATATAGACGCACCCGATAGTATAGTACACAGTAATAAATAATGCCACAGTGTAACACATACGGTATTTTAAGCAGCACATACAAGGAAAGGACTAGAGAGGGATCATACGTGGGGTCATTTATTTGACGTCTAGTAAACTTTATAAACCGCTGAGCGAGACTATGACATCATAAATGCTAATTTTTTTTTTGTGCAAGATCATTTACTAAACTGCCGCATAAGCATACAATGAAAGATGCTGCTGTCATGTATTAAGTCATGATTTGTAGACGGGCCTAAGTAACAACTTGAGTGCAGACTGTCGTCCCAAAAACATTTAGAAGACCAAAGTGAAGATCACAGAAGTTGAAAAGGCTGCTTGAATAAATGTACATCAACAGGAGCATTTAAGAGTGTCGACTCACAACTGCCTCTCGTGGTGTCAGTGACATTAATCAAATCACTGCTGGTTTACAATACAAAGGATTTTAACTTCTGCTTCTCTGATACTTCTGCTTTCACTGGTGCACTGTGACATTTTCAGTGACTGTTTCACCTTTAGAAACCTTTGTCCACCGTTAAATGTTTTCATTTAGAATCTATTTGGAAATATTTAGGGGGTTTCAAAAGGGCTTTAATATTAATTCATTGTATATATATATATATATATATATATATACTGTATATATGTGTGTGTGTGTATGTGTGTATATATATGTTTAAATAAGAAAAGTCAGACACTTTCCTGGAAAGTCGTCTTTCTCTCACAGAATTTGTTGTCAGATATCAAAACAGAGTCAAGCGGTATTTATTTTTTATCCGTCTTGTCATATAAATGGTGGTACCAAAGTATTTCTGTCCATAGTCGTTATTTTAGTATTTCACAACAGCTCCAATTTATCTGTATTTACAGATATATATATAGTTTGAAGACTCATTACGTCATAAAAGACAACTCAAAGCTCCCGATAAGAGCTTAAAAATGATCTGAATATGAGGAAAGGAATGTTCTGCTTTTAGGGAAAAACACTGTCATGAGTCAGCGAACTGAAGTCAGTGCACAACAACCACATCTTAAAACTGAAGACCCTCTTGCGATGCGATCACACCAAACACAATGCCAAATTGGGCCTAAAGTGTGTGTGTGTGGGTGGGGGGGGGAATTGCCCTTTCCCCACTTTCTACTTCCCTACTTCCTGTGCCCTTGCTCGGACCACACCCATCTTTGACCCCGGCCTTTATTTTGATCTCAACTGCACACCTTTTGTGACTGCATCTTACAAATTTGTGATGCTATCTTATTGACATAATCTACTCAAACGCCTGGCAAAGTAACCTCTTCCTGCTACAGTAAATCTACAGGTGCTCCAGGATCACATTTTTCCACAATGACACACAGAGACAGACTCACAAGGTGATAACAACGTCGCTGTCACGGCTGGTAAAAAACAATTTAAACTCTTATGGCTGTGGTGCCTTTTTTTTCTCAGATAAATAAACACATTTTCTAAAACATTTGTCATCTGTGGGGGTTCAGTTCATGTTCGTGTTTTTGGCGCTGGAATATATCTGACATTCATTTAGTTCCCTGGAGGTGGGAACTCTACCTTATGAATGTTTTCATGGAATGACTGAAGCTTTGGTTCTGATGGTTCACAGCATGAGCCGACATGTTCATTCCATATTACCAGAGAGACCTGTGTCTTTATTTCTAAATACAAGATTTAGAGCAAATTAATGTTACAAACGTATCCATAAAATAGAGATTATTCTCTGTCACTAAAATGTAATATGTAGTTGATATATAGATGACTGTGTTTTTGCTTATCATCTCATATCTCGCACCTTGTGTGGTAGTACTGCCTCACCACATCTCCTCTGACTCCTTTAAGTTTCGTAATGAATAATAATATCTCAAATATAACATGTTTATTGACCAACGCCTGATGAAGTGTTTGCAACAGATTGTATATTTGCTTTACACAACTTTACAATCCGTCAGTCAGTGAGGTTAAAGAATGATAACCTGCTTATACTTTCTAGAGCCTCTATCAGGCACCTGTTGGACTTTGCTGTTGGGTCCTCACCGTGTTTGTCAGAAATCTGCTACCTGTCAACTGCACGTGTTCCTGCTGGAAAGAGAAGTTGACATTCAAATGTTCAATGGACGACGTCTGTGAACTCTAAGAGAACAATGGCCTTTAACTCCTTTTTCCTGCCCTGTCATACGGTGTTAGTTCTCACTTTGTTCACTTCATAGTGTACAACACCGCACGCTCATTAACTTCACATGGAGATCTACAATGCAGTGAGGAAATCGCTTGTTTTACTTCTCCTTTATATTTAATTAACTGAATGTATGCTTAAGCTCATTAAAGGTACCCTGTGCAGTGTTTGACCACTAGTAGTAGCGCTATGGAGCAATGTTTGTATTGTACACGAGCACGCACGCAACATGATACGTGAATTTAGCTAAATAGTTTGGTAGCACTAACATGCTGCCATACAGTAAAAACTAATTACTTTTTTCATGATTGATTTCATAAATTTCAAACAATTTTGAAAAACGCCCATGCCAGTTAACCAATCAACTAACATGCATACCATGATTTGTGACTTTGTTGGTTTTAGTCGACAGAGATTATTCTGTTGATAGAGGAATTAGCAACACATTCTCACCCCCAACTAAATAAACTCCCATCTTCACAGGAATCTAAGGTTTAGACAACAAAACCACTTAGTTTTAGGAAAAGAGCGTGGTTGACGTTAACTTGACTAACGACTCATAACGACGCCCTTTAGCACCCTTTTCTGTCGAATTGGTCAAATTCCACTCACTGACCCACTTTGAACATGGTCCTTTGTGATTACAGGGGAATGGTGAGGTGTGTGTGTGTGTGTGTGTGTGTGTGTTTGTGTGAGTGTAGGTGTGTGTGTGTGTGTGTGTGGGTGTGTGACTGACCTGGTGGCAGAGAACTGGCTTTAAGGGCTGATAAAGACCTTTGGTTTTATTTTTTATTTTATTTATTTAACATTTATTTTTCTTATTTTTATACAAGGCTGTGAAATGTTGTGACTCTGTAGTTTAAAACCTTTATGTGGTATTTCCTGACTGCATTAACAAGGACAGTGTTGATATTCATTAGAGTCATTTCAACCACATCTGTTTTCCTGTTGTATCCTACCCAACAGAGACACAACAAAATATGCTTTAATTGATGATTAGCAATATCTAATTATTATTTTAATATTAACTAATATTTAAAAACACAGGATTGCATTTACATTACACGTGTGCATTTGTAGTTGAACAAGTTGTTTGTCAGTTTGTCAAATATTCTGCTTTTCTTCAAAACTATTGGGACAATTGTTGGATAAGTTTGTTTGTGTTCTTCCTTTTCTGTCTCTCACTCAATCTTTCTCATCTTCACCGCCAATTTGACCTTTTTGACGGTTGATTCCAGTTTTTCTCCACAGTGTAGCCAACAGGCTAACATCTTTGACAGGTATATGGTAGCCTAACGAAGCCTACGGTATACCTGCTGGCTAAACAAAGAAACCTAACTCCCAAAACCCAACCCTACTTTCAGCTTTTTAAACTATTTGATTTGGACCGATGCGTGTTTGTTTGGTAGCACATGCTTAGTGATGTCCCTCCTAAATTCTTCTAGCACTCACAGGATTAATCCATCTTTCTTGATGAAAGAGGAAGAACAGAAGCCCCCTGCATCATTCTTAGTCTGACTTTTATTGAAATCAAAGAAATTTAACAAAGAAAAATTCTATAAATCCGCTCTTTTACAATGTTTGGCCACTAAAGTATAAAAAAATGTTAAACTGAACACAAAATCTGATTAAAAAGAGATGGATATGAATTGATGAAATATCTGATAAATATAAACCACAAAACAAATCCTTTTGATGTGGAAACAAACATCTTACAACAGCTTTAGTCATATTGCCTCAGGCTGTCTCACACACCCAGACACACACACACACACGCACACAAAGAGGACCTTTGGCTCTTTGTGTGACAGCGGATCATACAGGCTACTGCTTATGATAAAATACACAATACAAATCTAACACAGAAACACAGTGGAGTGTTAGAATACATTACAAATACATTTTATTACATAAATAAAAAATAAAATCGCATATATAGACACATACAAAGTCTTTGTGTAACAACTGAAACAGTGATGTCCGTAAACAGTGAAACTCTGAGGAGGGAGATAAAGTTGTTTCCTGGGGCCATATCTTGGATCCATCTTTAGTTTCAGTCTCAGTAGAAACTCTCCTAAGCAAATATTACATGCAAAACACACCCACACACACGCGCACACACACCCACACACTGAACAATCACACAACCAAATCCATGTAAAATGAGAGCGAGCTTTTCCCTGTCATTGTCAGCGACACACAGCATTTTAACTGACGGTTTCAGTGAAACACGACACCAGCAGGCCGACAGCTAATGATATAGCGACACATGCTCACAAGAAGCAGTTTCAGATTCACATAATGCCACAGAAGTTAAAGCATAAATACAACATGTTCTCAGAAAATTCAAAATAATTTAAGTTATTTTTTTCTTGGAAAACATGCTCTAATGTTCATATACAGAAAATAGGAGCCTATTTAACAAGACACACCGGCTGCAAAGCAAAATCTTAAAGTTCTGTAAATGAACATGTCAGCCAAAGGTAAAGCAGAAAATCAATAGTTGTACACACATCTTCATTTCGGAGTCTTTTCGTGGGGTTCACCCTGTGGTTTCAGACAGCAAACTACAACACAGACACACAAAAGCACTCATGTGCAACAAACATTTTAGTTCATCCTGCTTTCCAAATCAATCTGTCAGACACTTCCGTTCAAACATAGTCTTTCCTGTCGTACCCTCCACCTGCACTGGTGGTGCGCGGGGCGGTGTAGGCCATCCGGGGCGGCTTGTACTTCTTCTCTTTTGGCGGGCAGCTGCTGCACAGCATCGCCCCACCAATCAGGAGCAGGACGGCCGCTCCCCAGCCGATGTAGAGCGATGCCCCGATCTCCCTCTTCTGCGCGGAGATCACGAGGGGGTTGTAGAAATCCTGGACGATGACGCTGGCCGACCAGGAGACGGGGATGAGAACCAAAAGGCCGCCGAGGACAAAGAAGATTCCAGCTATGATCATCACTTTGGCCTTGGACGACTCGTCTCCGATGCAGTTGGTGCACTTGGCGCCGACGATGGAGATCAGGACCCCCAACACCCCGAGTATGATGGCGATGATCATCATTGCTCGGGAGGCCTGCAGCTCCCGGGCCAAGGCCAGCATCGAGTCGTAGATCTTGCACTGCATCTGGCCAGTGCTCTGGGTGACACAGGTCATCCATAAACCCTCCCAGATGGTCTGAGCGGTGATGATGTTGGCTCCGACGAAAGCCGTCACCTTCCACATTGGCAGGGCGCATGTAACTATTGCAATGATAAAACCAATCACTCCAAAGGCAATGCCCACGATCTCCATGCCCATTGACATGCTGGCTCTTGGTCTGGTGACAGAACAAAATTAAAATAGAGAGTCCACAGATTTTCCAACAAAACTTTCAGATTACGGTGAAGGTCCTCCTCCTCTGTTGTTCTGGCGCCCTTGAAAAGTGTGAGCACCTGTATGAGGGTGTGATGTTGCTATGAGATGCTGCCACAGGAACAAGAGATCCTTTATACCTCAGGAGAGCGAGGAGGAGTCCCCCGGTGATGATGTCAAAAAGGAGGCCGTCTACATAACAAACAAAAAAAGAACACCACCTGTGTTCTATATATTGGAGGAGGGGAGCTGGAGGCAGGACGGGTGAGGAGGGATGTGATGGTGGGAGTGTGTGTCTGTGGTTGGTGGGGGTTGGTCTCTTGAGAGAAGAGAATGAGAAGTTCTGTTTAATATCGTCCAAAAAAACCCAATATGTGTAGTTCCTTACACTGACTTGCATCCATTAGTTAACCACAGTGCAAAACAGAGAGGTAGCTTCAGCCTCTGGCTATACATGGAAAGCTTGTTGTGAGTAAGCATGGAAACACACACACACACACACTCGGACTGTCCCTCTGATACTATTCGTTACTTCCTGGTTCCAGTCTTCAAATAGTCAGGATTAATTGTTAGGAAAACAATCCCAAAAGCTCTGCTGGAAACCGGAATAACTGCACCCAGAGCAAATATGAGCAGAGAGAAAACATGATCGGCTGATTCTCAGACACCTTTAGCATATAGACAGCGGGATCTCAGTATCGGTTGAACTCTTTGCTCTGACCAAATGATTCCTTGAAACACACGTGGTTGAGTATTCTGTAAAAACTAAGAAAAAAAAAACTTGCTCGAGGTATTATGTGAATCCATGTTGAAGATTAGTCAAACAAATCAGAAAAATTACACGGACTAAATTTAGAAAATAAGGATTTGTCTTTTTTGTTCTGTAAAAATGTTAAAGGACATTTGTTTTTAGCTCGTCGTTAACTGTGAACACAATGATTGGTACAATGTCCTTTCCTGTAAATGTGTTGGTTTTAAAATACAAGCAAGCACCTCTGCGGTAATGAATTTGTCATTATCAAAAGGACTACACATCAGGGCAATTTTTTTTTTCTTTTTGGAGACATCACTCACCTCCAAACCTAAATATCACGGGGCTACGACTGTTCATCGCCAACAGGCTGATCCAGTGTTTTTGTCAAACACACAAATTTTACGAGTCTCACATTATGAGTCCAGAGCTCTGTTTGTCGTACCATCGTGTTGATGTAACAACATCAGTTGATGCTTTACTGCAAGCGACCTGTATCAGTACACCTGTGTTGACCAGCTGCTTGTGTTACCAAAACAAGACCCGAAGCTGCTTCTGTTTTTGCTATAAATGTATATTCTCCATTTTTAACCAAGTCAGATATTATCATGTCATCAGTGGAAGAATGCAAGCTCAAACTAACACACATCTACATATGGACAAATGATCGTGTCACCAGTGGAGGAAAGTAATTCAGTGTGTTTACTCAAGTACAATTTTGAGGTACTTTACTTCAGCATTTCCATTTTTGATACTTTATACTTCCACTATTTTCAGTTCGCTGACATAATATATAGATGGATGATGTAAGATAAAATCAACTGATAAATGATGATGTATTATTATAGTTTAAGTTTGGACTTTATTGCAGTCGATAAAATAATTAAAATTAGCCCCATTTTTACTAGCTGGCATTAAAGTGATGTACATATTAATTCATCAATAACTATTATCCAATAATATACTAAATGGCTCTGCATAATGAGTACTTTTCATTTCGATATTTTAATAATAGTTTAAATAGTAACACCCAGTGGTGGAAGAAGTATTTTTACTTAAGTTGAAGAGGTTTGTTCAGTGTTGTTCAGAGGAGCAGAAATAGGCTGTGTGTAGTAATGCTCCTGGAGCAGGATTAACAGGCTGCTCTGCTACCTGAGCACACCTGCCGGACCACAGAGGGATAATTTGACTATTCAAAAGAGGAATGAGTTGGTTTCTGCAGAACAGACACCAAACAGAAAGGACTTCCCCTTTACATCACAATTTAAAAGAGCATCATCTGTCACACACAACTCACTAACTCTGTAAAACATCAACACCCATTTTTCATGCTGTTTATGTAAAATGGTATAAAAGATTTTAAAAAACGAAGAAGGTAAAAAACAAATACAGTTCTTGAACAATGTGCTCATGTTGTCTTCAACTTGTTCATCTTAATTCTGTTATTTGAATTTCCACTTTTATCTCCAAAGTATATGGAATCAAAACCTTGTCACTATTTATGGCTTTTCCTCTCAATTATTTCAAAACATTTGTTAATCATCTTTATCATTGTTCATAAGAACCCGGATAAATTAGGCCCACATACTGTTTCACAGTGAAAATCTTTATTACTTTGTTATTTAAGTTATTTCAATAATTTCAGTAGATCTAAAACCAAAACATTTGCATTCAAAGAGTAAACTCAAAATGTTCTCTCGATTTTGGCAAACACATACAATGTTAATGCATCAAAAGCCATAAAAGCATCAACCTTAGTATACAATGTCTAAACACAGCATTCATAAAGCATCGTACATGTTATAAGCACAAATAATAAATATATATATATGTATATGGGATGTAAATGGGATAAAGTCTCTTAACTAACCACATAGACAAAATTTGTGAACTTCTGTTACCATATTCGGTCACGTCTTCTTAAACTTGATTTAGACCAATGGTAAATGTAAACAGAACCATCAAACATCCGAATAGAGCTTTTAAATCAATTATTTTTTAAGTATTAAAAAACTGCCTGCAGATTTACAATTATCTATGCTCCTTAATATTCTCTTTTACCATTTTTACCATTTTACCAATAATTATTATTTAGCTTCAGTTCTGTGCTCATTTCCGGACAATGTACAAATAAGCAGGATACAAATGAAAATAATATGAAGGAGGTCACATTTCCTCCTACTCCCCCCTCTGTCCTGTACTCTTCCTTCACACGTAGTCCCTCCTGTTGTAGGAGCTTGGAGCGTTTGACCTCGGTGCGACGGAGTACGCCATACGACTCTGAGGGTGCACGCTGTACCTCGGTTTATCTTCCCTTGGAGGGCAACTGCAGCAGAGGATGGACCCTCCAATCAGCAGCAGGGCCGCGGCAGCCCAGCCTAGATACAGCGCCGCCCCGATCTCCATCTTCTGACCAGAGTGGATGAGTGGACTGTAGAACTCAACTATGATGGTGTGTGCTGACCAGGAAACGGGCACCAGCTGGGTCAGAGCGGCTGTGATGAACGCGCCGCCTGAGGCGGCCATCACCCTGGCTTTAACCCCTTCATCCTCGATGCAGTTGGTGCACTTTGCTCCGACCATAGATATCAGGAGAGCCACCACCCCCACGATGATAGAGACGATGGTGAGTGCCCTGGCGGCCTGCAGGTCCTGAGGTAAAGCCAGCATGGAGTCGTAGACCTTACACTGCATCTGCCCCGTGCTCTGGAACACGCAGTTCATCCACAGGCCCTCCCAGTACACCTGAGCTGTGACAATGTTGGAGCCAATGAAGGCCGAGACCCTCCACATTGGCAAGGCGCAGCTGGTCACACTCAGCACCCAGCCGAGCACTGACAGAATGACGCCGACCAGTTCAAGTCCAAAAGACACCATAGTGCACTCAGACAAGCGTGCCCCCTTTTGGATCAAAAGCTCCTTTATTCGTCCTTCCTCTCCTCTCGGTTCCTCTATATATGATTTTCTCTTTCTCTCGGTTGTCCTTGCTTCCCTGTCTTCCTTTTATTTTCCAGCTAATACTTAAAGGCCTTCTTGCTTTTGCCCTTCAAGCTCCACTTTGTCGACCCTTCTTTCCACCAGGTATGTCCTCTCCTCAAGCTGTAGCTACTGCACCTGCTGCTGAATCCAGAAGTGTCGATTTGTCACAGTGTGCTTCCTCCACAAACTCTCTGCTGCGTGTACGTGTCCGCTCAGACGTTTCCTCTGTTCTTCTGCTCTTAAGTCGTCGATGACCCTTATCTGTGCATTGTTTTATTACTAAGTGGTCAGGCCCTCCTAAGAGATGACATCACTCGTCAAACCAAACCAATCAGGTGAGGTCTAGGCATTGGCCTCATTTACCACCTGGGTGTGTTGGTGCTCGTGTGTGTGTTTTTTCAAATGAGGAGTAGTTTTATGGTTTAACCTTTTGCCCATGGTAGCTCTGGGTGTGTCGGCTTTATTGCTGTCAGTCGGTAATGAGTGGCCAAGCCGAGCTTGTTATGTGGTTGATAGGTGACCACATGAGGCCGTAAGGAATATACATGAATTCTAATAGCTGTGTGTGTGCGTGTGTGTGTGTGTGTGTTCGTGTTTGCATAGCGTGGGATTGTGTTTGAGTAAGACTGAGGAAGAGAACTTTGGCACATATTAAATGCAAGCAGGCTGTTTTTCTGTTACATATTTTCTGTTTCCATTCTTTTTTGTTGTTGTGATGTGCCGTGTTTTTATAGCCTCGACAAAAACACGATGTGACAGTTTTTATAGCTGTTTTTATAACACGTACCATCTCCACTGGGTCACACAGGCGATGGGTAATCATAAAGTAAAATTCTAGTTAATGACAAACTACAAATGTTACAAATATATTTGATAGATGTGACCTCTGTGAACCAACTTATTCTGCCAATATTTTCTTTTTCATGTTGGGGAGAAACTACAAACAAAATTTAAGCTTTTGAAATCATGCTAAAATCATGCTGTGATTGGTGATTTGCTTTCACACCACAAATGAAACACACCAGAGTCCACTTGGAAGAGGAGATAGATCCTTCTCCGTTGTTTGATCCGCACCAGGGTTCCATTGACAGCTGTCACGCCAGCCCAAACAAACCGTACTAACCGGGAAAATGGACCTGAGTTTGTTTTAACCAAAGTAAATGGGTGAGACCTGTGAAAGCTTCACAATTCATGAGTGATGTATTCACTATAAATAATTACTATTGACATCTGACCAAAAAGCCATTCAAAAAAGCCATTAACTTCGAGACGAGGGAACTCAATTCAAAGTATCCTTTTTCAACATCTTAACACGGGGTTGTCTTTGATCAGACAGTCTCCACATAATAAACATAAAACCAGCAAACAACAAAATTGCGAACCAAAATGTAAGAAATGTCATGCAGAAATGGAAAAGTGTTTTGGTTCATGGTTGTAATTGTTGCACCCTTAAAATGAACTGTCCAAATACACGTCCATCTTCGTTTTGCAACTTTTATTAACAAATCCCACGGTTAAGCACAAGCACATTTTTGCCTTCAGGCTGCATCACAGTCTCCAAAGACTCTCTTAAAGCGACAGCGCTTTCTTCTAAAGTGCCAGTACAACAACTTTCCTCCCTTCACAGTTAGTAAGTATACAGTTAGGTAATATTTTCAACTATTGAAGTCATACAAATATGAATGAACTTAAACACGTATGATTTTACATTGACACACTACATAATATTGGACTATTAAATGTAATATTCTCCCACAAGGTTGACTGTGATTTGTCCAAGTCATCACTCCGGTGCCGCTATCACACTCTGACACTTGTATCTGGTATACGTGATCACATTATCACACTTCAACATTAGTCAACATTGCACGTCTGCTAAACAATGGTTAACACTGTAACCATGATAAGATAAAGCCTGATAAAAGGCAATTCATTGAGATTATCTTTGTATTTAGGAAGGAAACAAACAATCCGCTAACAATTCAAATCATATTTGACTGTCAATACTATCAGCTTCTTTGTTTGCATGCTTAATCAAGAAATATTTGACTTTGGAGTCGCTGATCAACAGCACTACTACGGTGTGTACTCCAGCAAGCAGTGTCTTTTGCACACTCTTTTATTTGCACACAGCAAAAGTAGCATTTGAAGTCGTGTTTCTTCACCAATTTATTTCAATTAATTAATTAATTAATTTAAACCCAGTCTACACGTATACAGATATTTTCTAAAACGAATACTGTATTTTCTCCACACGACTGTTTTGGCGTGGCAGACTTGCCTAACAATGTTTGACACTCTTTCTCGTGGCAAGCCAAAGGCCTTAGCTATCTTCCGCAGTCTAGTTGGGTAGTAGCTACAGTGTACAGGCTACCTTTTTCAAAACACCTGGAGATCTCATCACCGTTGATTCCCCTTCGATGTAAAGACGAAGGAGCTCACTCAAAGATACGATCTATGCTCTGGACATGCAAAACTTGTCCTTCTACTTCTCATCGACGACTATCCCTCTCTGGAAATTGTCCTTCCATCGGCTGGTTCGACCAAGCCTGATCCAAAACCGTCGTTTCTTGGCCCAGGATGGCATCCCCGTTCTCAATGCTGCCTGCAGAGCTCTAATTGGTTAGTTTTATGTTGTTGTTTTTTCAGCTGTTAGTGACACCAGCATCACACCAAATCAAACTGCTGGAAAAGTTTGGTGATGTGGGCAGGCTAAATATATATTTGTCATAAAATACATTTACGCCCTGGAGTAATCATTCATATCATTTTCATGTTACCAAAACAGCTCTTTACTTATGAATACTGTAACAACTCCATATATATATGTGCAGTGTGTGGAGGCTCAATCTCTCACAAGAGTTGATCAATGAGTTTCAGATAGCAGAGCGATTATCCAGTTCCCTGTTTTGTCCCTGTGTGTGTTGGTGGATTCGTGAAATTGTGAGCTCTTCCTTCTCTCCAGCTGCAGAGTAAACACCGATGATATCGTATCCTACTGTGTGTTTGGAGAGGTTATTTCAGAATGCAGACTGTATATATAACAGGTTTATCTATTTGGTCAACTGCCAAGCGAAATTCAGATGGGTGCATGGGTCAGCAACTACAGCCAACACACTGATCATACTGTGCTAACCTGAATACAGGAGGGAAGACAGTTATGGAAATACCCTTCAAGGAAGTACTGATACTGTCCTGCTCTGAAACTAAAGTACATGTATTATTTGTGTTTTTTATTCAACGTAACAAAAAAAAAAGCACTTAGTGCTAAAACGGAAGAAAAACTACCATTAACCAAGGGTCAGGAATTAAAAGAAGTGTTACGTATAATAGTTTGTCTGTCACCTCATTAGGAATTGAACAATCATTGATACATCGCTTCTGCTGTACTTAGACGTTTTGTGAGGATGATTGTAATACACATGCACGCGAAAGAAAGTCAACACATAAACAATTACACGTTTTAGTTTAAACCAAGTAGTGCCAGCAATAATTCCCATCTCAAGTGAATGCAGGATGACGTCTCACTCATGACTCTCTTGATATCAATCCCTCTCCTCTTTCAATTTTTTCCCCCTCCGTTGTGATAGTAACTGACTCACACCTGCTTGGGGGATTTGTACATTTTATATCTTAAGTCTACTTTGTAACTAACTTGTATGGTGTAATGGGTGTAACCAAGTTCTACTAAGTTATAGCGTAACTATAGCTGGAGCAACAGGCTGCAGTTTCTGCTACTTAATCTACAGCGTTATTATTGCATTGTTGTGTTCTGGTTAACAGAGCATTGTTCGTCCATGTTTGTACAGGTTTCATGCAGAAGAAATAGGGGACTTTTGTCATTAATGATACAGTTTCTGTAGGCAAGGCAAGGCAAGGCAAGTTTATTTGTATAGCACATTTCAACAACAAGGTAATTCAAAGTGCTTCACATAAAACCATTAAAAGCATCAAAACATAAGGCAAAAGAAAAGGAGATTAAAAAACAATTAAGAACATTTATTGAAACAATAAAAACAGTCATTAAAACACTAGAAAGCAGTGTAAGATATAAAATACAGTAGTAAAATGCAGAAATGTATTAATATCCTTGATTCTGGTTAAATTAAAGGCGGCAGCAAACAGAAAAGTCTTCAATCTTGATTTAAAGGAGCGGAGGGTCTCAGCAGACCTGCAGCTTTCTGGGACTTTGTTCCAGATATGTGGAGCAGAAAAACTGAACGCTGCTTCTCCATGTTTAGTTCTGACTCTGGGAACAGAAAGTAGACCGGTCCCAGACGACCTAAGGGGTCGGGATGGTTCATAAGGTAGAAGCAGATCAGAAATGTATTTTGGCCCTAAACCATTTACTGCTTTATAGCTCTTATACAACGACGCATTAAAGCAATTTTAGGTAAAACAATAATTACCGAGCTGGGGGACGGGGTAATATTACCAGAAAAACTCAGAAATTTCCAGATTAAAGGCGTAAATTCATGAGAATAGAAACTTGGACATTCTCTGAGATTAAAGTGGCAAATTTATGAGAAAAAAAACCTCACAAATTTCAGAAATTATAATGTGATAAATAAATGCCAAAAAACTGAAAAATAGAGTGCAAAATCGTGGTAGCGAAAAGTAGTGGGCTATATTTGTTACCACTTTGCTTTGCAAGGTTGGATCAACCACCACAGATGCCTCCGTTAAACACTGCGATAACTTGAGCCAACGGTTGCAAAACATATTATTGTAGCTGACTGGGTTGTCTTTTGTGTTATCCGTGCTGACGCGTCTTTGTGTAGTCAAAGATAGAAGTTCTGAGTCTTTACTGTACTTTCTACAATATTAGTATTTATTATATTCATAAAAGAACACAGAATGAACATAAAAGAAAACAAAAAACAAGTTTGTCTATCAGGACCTTCGTCTCACTCAGAGGCCGTCCTTTCTCATAAAATGTGTCACTTTGTTTGTTTTTCTATAAAGATCACCTCCCTTTCCCAGCTCCATTTTCGTTAACCTGCAACGGCCCTAACGCTTTGTTGTCTCTCCTGCATATCGACTTAACCTACAAGTTATTCAAAATAACACTTAAGTCAAAATATGCTGAAGTAACTGTAGAATTCCTGATTTAAGAAATACTAATTTCACGGTCTTGTTCAAACCTAGATTGGGGGTAGATTGCACACTAGTCACAATTGACAAGAATAAAACTTAACTTACGTAACTACAATAGAAAATGAAACCTCTTCTTCGACTATATTAAAGAAGACAAGCTCCTAAACTGTCTGTCTATCAAGATGAGATAGTGGCAGTTTAATTCAATAGAAACTGTTGGCCTGAGAGACCTCATAAAGATGTTACACCCCATATTTAAAGAATGGAAAACAGTTTACTGACGAACACACCAATCTGTTGAGTCAAAATCACACTTATAATAATATAGGAGGAATATCTCCTAGCCAATCACCAGCCTTTCATTTCAAATTGCCCGTTTCAAAGAGAGATGGGGATTTCCACTGGCAGCCTTTATTAGGTGACTGGTCGGTGGCGATACTGCTCTATAAGCGGACTCTCTGTTACTAAGTAATACGTCTTTTGAAAGAGGTAGCCTTGGATTTAATGGCTGCTTCAAGATTTATGGACACATTAAAAGTTGTTTGAACACTGGGCGATGCTACACCACCCCATCCTTCTTTCTCTTTGCGCACAAAGCTCCAAACAAAATCAGAGTTGTGTATTTTATTGCTGCATTGACATATACAATGAAATGTACAGGTTCACACCTGCATGACAATAAACTGACAGCATAAAAAAAGTCCTCTTAGTCAGGTTTAAACCTAGTGACTTTCAGGGAAATTGTGTGTACACCACACACTCACACACTCACACACACACACACACACACACACTCACACACACACACACACACACACACACACACACACACACACACACACACACACACACAGTAAACGTTTTGAAAGAAGAAGTTGCTGCCTCCCTTTGGACAGAGCGGTGAATAGCAGACAGGGTTTCTTTCACGTCAGGGTTACAACATTTAGAAGTCCCTAAATCCAGACCTGTCACATACGCCGTATATCATAACACTGACTCTTTTTTGTTGCCCTTCCCCACTCCGCCCCCCACACCAATTTCCCAGAAATATCTCTTTTCCTGTGATCTTGTATGAACAAAACAACCTTGTATGTTCACACTTACAATCGGCCCTCAGTCTGATTCACAGAACACACACAGACATAAAAGAGCTTCTCTCAAAGCCTTTATTTCACTTTTCACTTTTTCAATTTGTTTTGAGAAATGCAGTTCTGTTTCTTAAAGTAACAAAATGACTAAAGGCCCATTTCACCTTTTCAGTCACCTGTAATTATCTAAACCCAGGGAGTGTCATGAAATCATGTTGGAGCTGCGTTTATCAAAGGTCACATGCTTCGCGCTTCCTGAATAAAACGTTTTAATTGCAAGTATAACTTCTGTGTACACACCTGTCGACAACACCGAGAATTGCAGAAGACCTGCCATTAAATACACTGAAGCACATAAACGTTTCTGCTTCACAGATACGTCTTTAAAAACAAGACTGCATATTTTGGACAAAATCTGATAAAGTTTTTGATTTGTAGGGGTGTCAGATATTGAAATTGTTAGTAAATGACACAAAGAGGGTCACAAAGAATTGATAAATCACAATATGTTCAAGTAGAGAAGTTGTTATCTGGAGCAACATGTTGAATGATTTCATACAGTTTTAGTTCCACCTAGTGCCAACCTCTGGCTATACGTTTATCACCTCACAAAATCTCAATTTGCTGTTTTTTCTTTCTTTTAAGCACACAATTATTGTGTGCTTCAGAGCAAATCTAAAGAATAGATTGTGTGTGTATCTGTATGTGTGTGTGTGTGTGTATGGATCAAAATAATGATGAAAGATCAAGGGTCTTTGTCAGTGTGATTTCCTCCCCAGTCATTTACAGTAATCATTCAATGTTTTGTCATTGGTGTGAAACCAGAGCGACATTGGCTCTTTATGTCTCATTAAACAAGTTGTGCAGCTTGTCAACACAAACACTTCAGCTAACAGCACATTTACTGTGACCAACATCAACATGTCTCCTGCTAAACCATAAAAAGTTTGACCTAAAGGATAGACAATAGTTTCAACAAAGGAGACAACTGATGATATATTTTGGAGTTTAAAGTGACGGTTTCCTGCCTCATCTTCAGACTCAAGCAAAGTGATCATGTGAATTGATAGGTTGAGTTAGTCAAGTTGCTCAGCTGTGGAGTGTATACAGCTGACAGAAAAACATTTGCCAATGTATTCATTTGTGATGGAGACTCCTACTCTTGCTTCTTAACATTAGAATAAAACTTTCAGACTTGACAACCTAAGAATACCTGATATTTAAAAGACATCATAATTATTTAACTTTCAAACAAAGTGTTTATTTAAAACTTAAAGTAGACAGCTGTCACTTCCTGCCTCAAAGTGAGAAATGAGATGAAAATGAGAGGGCAAAATCTACTGACCATTAAAAGGAGTGCTTAGAAACAAGTTTTTTACATTTACATATAATTAATTTGCAACAACAAATTGTGAACGGAAGGTCGTCTGTTCAATCCCCAAGACCTGCAGGATAAATCTGGGTGAGAGTGCAAAGCAGTGCTTGCCCCTCCCTCTTTACCACCCTTGAGCTGCCCATGAGCAAGGCCCTTAACCCCTCCAGTGGAGCTGCTCGGTGGCCAGCAGATCAGACTGTGGTCTTCAGCCCTCCTGGTCAGCTTCCAGGTGTGAATGTGTAAAGGCTTGTGCATGATTGCCGTAGTGACACGTGTGAGGTTGTACACATGCCATAAAATGACATCATCACAGAGTGCACATCATGCACCAACTTTTTGTAACAAGGTGCGCTCTCAGAACGTTTCAGACATGGCCGTCTCAAATTCTTAACTGATAAAAGCATTATTGTCTGAGCATTTTACAAAGAAGGACAATTAGGCAGTAAAATAGACCTGAAATTGCTTTCAGTGACACTCTCTGCCTGAATAAATAACGGTGAACCCCCCCCCCCCCCCAAAAGAATACAAAAATGAAGTCAACAACAAATATGTGAAAAGGAAACAAAATTTATCCCAGACATGGGATATGTTTCTTCATCAACATAAAGAGGAAATGTTTTTGATAAAAATGTCTGCAAAATGTTCAGACTGTTCACTGATAATGTATTCTAAATTTGTTCTCCTACAATATCCGATCTTGCAATAGCATCTCCGCTCGTAGCAACTACGGAATTATTATTATTACTATGTTCATGCTTCGATACTCAAGGGACAGATCGTGGTATTGATTTAATATTGAAAACGTCAAAAGTGACGAGGAAGCACGAGACCTGTTCTTGACTTCAATTGAAACCACAACCATTCATGCGGTAAAATGGACACAGTTTCGTGAGGACATTCCAAATATCTATTTAGACTCTTCGCAGTATGTCATCCGTAGTTTATGAAGGTGTTGTACAGCAAAATCACCGAGCAGCAGACCATATTTGGTCTGTTGGAAGTTTTGTTCGAAAGGTATTGTTATTAAAAACGTCCTGAGTCATCTCTTACTCAGGACGTTACACCACCCTCTTGCTGCTTCAGGTGAAACTGAAAATGGGGGAGGGGGAATAAGAGGGAAGATGAACTGAACAAATGTTCTGTTACCATCATTTTTTCTTCAATGAGATGCTCATATTGTGTTAGAAATGTGTGTTCAATATTTTCACGGGTTCTTTTGTTAAACTCAGTGAGACAGGCAGGATGGTTGGGGAGGGAGAACAGGTTATGGGTTTGTATTGTTTAAGGGAATGAACCTGAAGAACAGGGACTGATGACGGCGAGCTGTTTCTCCTCCATGGCCCCTCCTCTCTCAGTAAGGCGATCATATACCTGCGCCTCTGGATCCTCTCCCATTTAGCAAACTCACTCGACTAACAAAGGACTTGCCTCCATCACAGAAGGAAACAAACAACCCCAAGGCTTACCTCACTGCTAGAGAGGAATTCGTTTTAAAAAAGTTTCGTTTGAAGCAACTCAAAGAAATCAGCTCTCCGTGATGGTGTCTGCTGGGATACAGATTCTGGGCGCAGCTCTGGGGATCCTGGGCTGGATCGGCGCCATCATTGTGTGTGCCATTCCAATGTGGAAGGTCACCGCTTTTATCGGCAGCAACATTGTGACCTCTCAAACCTCATGGGAAGGTATTTGGATGAACTGTGTGCACCAGAGCACAGGCCAGATGCAGTGTAAGGTCTACGACTCCATGCTGGCCCTCAGCGCTGACCTCCAGGCTGCCCGGGCCCTGACCATCCTCTCCATCGTGGTGGGCGTCTTGGCTATCCTGCTCAGCGTAGCCGGGGGGCAATGCACCAACTGTGTGGAGAATGCTTCGTCCAAGTCCAAGGTGGGCATTGCAGCTGGAGTTATGTTCATCATAGCTGGGGTCCTCTGTCTCATCCCTGTTTGCTGGACGGCCCACACCGTCATCCAAAACTTCTACAGCCCGCTGTTGGTCAGTGCCCAGAAGAGAGAGTTGGGTGCTGCGCTCTACATCGGGTGGGGGGCGGGCGCCTTGATGTTGATCGGAGGGGGGATACTCTGCAGCAACTGCCCTCCTAAGGATGATGACTCCTACAACGCAAGGTACAAAGCTGCCAGATCTGAGGCTTCAGCACCAGCGTCCGGGAAAGACTTTGTCTGAAACAGATCTGAACGTCTGTAAATAGATCCACAAAGCCATGTTTACTGGGACAGATGCACTGGCGCTACTGGGTTGTGTGTTGATATTCCAAGATGTTACTTGAGCAAAAAGTATTCCTGAGTCTTTGATGGGAATAAACATTGAGAAAAGAACCACACCCAAGGAGTAAATTCAATCGTATATGTTAACACAGTTATTTGTATGTGTATGGTTTTTGATATGAATAGTAGTCATTTGTCTTTTCTGAGTCATATGAATATTCTATAACCTAATTTGAAAAAGCTGTATGTGGGTTGTTTTTATAAACCGTGTATGAGATTCACGATGTACCAGTTAAACTGTAAATAAATATGTTGTTTACAAATCAGACATCTTTTGAGCTTGCTTTTTATTTTCACCAACATGATTCATCCGGGGATCTTAAAATGGAACAAATCAATATCAATATCATCAATATTAAAATCATTGAAAATCTATATTCACAGGTTTTAATATTAATTGTACTTTTTTCACATTTATTGACACAAATGTTTGAACAAGGATCCTTTAAAAGTGGTTGAGAGACCTCTATTGTGTGACTTTCTTGTAAATCAGGTTTAGGTGTGGCAGAAAAACAAGGTCGTTGGAAACTGGTCTTTGTTCAAGCTGTGAGCCGTTAGGGCAGCAATGTTTGTACTTCAGTTCACAGGACCAACTTTTCTATTGTTAAGAGAGTAAATAATATATCAATATATTCCTCTAAGAATCTATTTTGACCGATATGATTAAAGTCCCTTAATTGAACATCCAAACCTAGAGCTTGAGATCAATTTTAATTGTATTGAAAATGATAAAAGCTATTCAAAGGTTAGTTCTCTGTTTAAATGAAGATTGGATTGGAGAACGCTTTGTCCTTTCAGAAACATCCACTTCCTGGTCTGTTTTTAATTGAATATACTGACCTAAACTGTGAACTTTAGAGTTTGTGTTTGCTCAAGACTTGGTCTGAATGGGTCTGTATGTGTGTGCGTGCGTGTGTGTGTGTGTGTGTATGTGTATGTAGGTGTGTGTGTATGTGTGCGAGCACAGGTGTCATTGTTCCCAGTCTCAAAGTCTTGCTTGAGGTAACAAAGCTTGTATGTGTGGGAACAATGAACAGAGAGAGAACGAGGTTTGTGGATATCAAGTCTCAGCTTTCCCCTTTTGTCTGGGAGCCCAGAAACTCCACCCTGAAAGTTTGAACCACAATGGGAGGCAGTCATCTTCTCACAGTGGGACCTCAGAGCCTCAGAGCACTGCAAACTCTTCCTCGAGCAGGTGTGAGCGTGGAGTATATGAGAGCAATTACAATCTCTGTTGTGTTTATGTATTCAGAATTAAATAATCTTCCAGGCGGGAACATTTCTGTCAGAGCAACCTTTTGAGTCGTGGCTGCAGTGGCATTATCATGGTTTCTCAGGGCCTCCAGATCATGGGTGTGCTGCTGGCCTTCATCGGCTGGCTGGGCACCATCACCACCTGCGCCATGCCCATGTGGAGAGTCACCGCTTTTGTCGGGGCGAACATCGTCACCGCCCAGGTGATCTGGGAAGGCTTGTGGATGACCTGCGTGGTCCAGAGCACAGGTCAGATGCAGTGTAAGGTGTACGACTCCATGCTTGCGCTACCTCAAGACCTGCAGGCTGCCAGGGCCATGGTGGTCATCTCTGTGATCGTCGGGGTGTTCGGCATCCTCATGGCTGTGGTTGGAGGAAAGTGCACCAACTGCATGGAGGACGAAGTGGCCAAAGCCAAAGCCTGCATTGTGTCCGGAGTGATCTTCATAATAACAGCCTTGCTGATCATGATCCCAGTGTCGTGGTCTGCTCACGCAGTGATCAGGGACTTTTATAACCCCATGGTGATTGCGGCTCAGAGGAGGGAGCTCGGGGCTGCACTTTACATCGGCTGGGGCTCTGCTGGGCTGCTGCTGCTGGGAGGAGGCCTGCTCTGTAACAACTGCCCCCCAAAGGACGGCACAAGACCCTACATACCTGCCAAGTTCGCCCCTGTGAGAACCGCATCTTCAAACGTTGACTATGTGTGAGTGTTTTGGCTGGAACTGCAGCATAACATATCTCAAGATTTTCATTGAAATTTGTTAATGCTCACACCAAAACGTTGCACAGAAATATCTCTTTCTTCAAAATTATGTTTTGTGGATGACTTAACAAGAAATCTGTGTACTTGGTTGATTAGGAAAAGGTTAGGGTTAAATTAAATTGACATAAATTGTGTGGTGGTTTGTTTTCTTCTTTTTTTGTTTTTATGAAATGTGTCCCTATCAAAGGTTGATATATGCTGTCAATTATCCGTGAATCTAAGGCCTGAAAACCTGTAACATTTCACTGAAACAATAAGCTGAAACAATATATTATCTGCTGCTCAAAGAAGATGTGAAAGACAAAAAATCTGCACGAAAGGAGATTTTTCAAAAGCTAATTTTAATAATAAACAATATGCTGTTGAAATTAGGTGTGATTTTGTATTTTTTATTTTTGTCAACTGTATGATGATATGATGATCACTGTTGGACTTCTAATTAACTTTCAGATGTCGGAAATAAAGCCTCTTTGTTCATATGTTCCTTTCTCGTGTCCGCTCTGTACCTGCAAGAAACACTGTGATAAAACTGAAACTAAACTTCTGAATAAGCACGAGTGATAAGGCACTCAGGAATCCAGAGCAGTAGACTCCTGGGAATTTACTCTGTATTTGTTTGAGATGCTTGCCATGGTGTAATCCACTGCCCTTATATTAAGACGGTTATTTACAGTTTCTGTCTCAAATAAAATGGACGTCCCTGCCAGAGACAACAGTGCTCTTTGTATGCTTGGATTCATGTTGCTAAGGAACTGTTTTATATCTCCAAAGAATGGATATTTACACTTTGCCCAGTAAGAGTACATCTGCCAATTCTTGTCAGGTTGATATATTCTAAACTTTAACGTTTTTTTTGTTTTTTTTTAGCAGACATTTTCAATTGAAACCAGTCTGAAAAGGAAAACATACGCCCCTGTAACCTTTCGCTGTTTCAGTGGAAGAAGTATTCAGATCTTTTACTTACTTAGTAGCTGAAACTAAAATACCAAAAATAGTAAAAATAAAAGTAAAAGCCCTGCATTAAAAATGATTCTTAATTGTAGGGAAACATACAGAAGTATAATAAAAAATAAAAAAAAATAACTTTAAGCATCAAATAAAAATAAATAGTACTCACTTTGCAGAATCCCCAGTGATGTGCATGTTAATTATGATGTGAAAGTAAAAGCAGCATTTTAATGTTTTATGGAGCTAAATTTAACTATTACATATAGTCACATAGCTTTACAATCTGTACAGCACACAACAACTTTGATGGTTTAATCTATAACAATGCAGTGCGTTTTATGTGTAAACATCTTTTTAAAGTAACTAGTAACTTTATAGCAGTGCAATATTTCTCTCTGGAATTTAGCATTGAATAACTATCTGAAAACTTTTACTGAACCACATTGCACAGGAAAATGCATTTTGTTACGTTCCACCAGATCAGTCATATCATCAAAACATTGTTGCCAAAAAAATCTGTTTATTATCTGACTGAAAAACTAAATTACAAATAAATCCCACAACAAATACACAAGTCGTCTTTCTGAAGTGCTTATGTTGTAAATAAGATAAATGAAAACAGTCCGACACTGAATTAATATAGAAATTAATAAACAACAATGTAAAAATAAATGAGCTAAGCTTCAATCTTAACTCATGTTAACATGTTGCATAATTGTAACATGGCACATCCCCAAAATGTGTTAGTAAAATTAGTCACAATGCAAATCACAACTTCATAAGCAACAAGTTTGTACTGTGTATAAAGTTAGATGCTGTTCATAGAGTGCTGCCTCTCATGTAATGCAGCAAATCAGACAAATTCCTTCCCGGGCGTTGTGGATTTGGGAGCGGAGTACTTTGCTCCATTGTAGCGGTCTCCTCCTGACGGGCACTGACAGCAGAGAAGAGCTCCACCGATCAGCAGAAGTCCTGATGCTCCCCAGCCCATGTACAAACATGCACCCAGCTCCCTCCTCTGGGCGTCAGGGACCATGGGGTTGTAGAAGTCCTTTATGACAGTATTGGCAGGCAGCGACACAGTCACCAGACACAGAGCCCCACTCAAGATGAAGAAAACACCTGCGGAGATGGCCACTTTGGCTTTTGCTACTTTGTCCCCAACGCAGGTGGTGCATTTCCCCCCGACCACAGAGAGCAGCAGGCCGAACAGAGAGAACAGGATGGCGATGACCACCATAGCCCGAGCCGCCTGGAGGTCCGGAGGCAAGGCCAGCAGGGAGTCGTAGACCTTGCACTGCATCTGGCCGGTGCTCTGCACCACGCAGGTCATCCACAGTCCTTCCCAGATGGTCTGAGCCACCACGATGTTGTTCCCGATGAAAGCAGACACTTTCCACAGGGGCAGCATACAGATGAGTATGTTTCCAATCCATCCAAGCACCGCCAGCCCGACGCCCAGAATCTGCAGCCCTAAAGATGCCATTGCAGTTTGGTGGTACTTCTTCTCTTTCTTGCTCTGTTGTCAGTTCTTCACGGGGCTGCTAACTAAAAGCTCTCCCACTGTGAGGATGTTTTATATGACTCACAGATGCCCCTGAATAGCCCCCTCCTCTGGGTGGGCTTTGGCTTCAGTGCTCAGATATATACATCCATCATGCTGCCTTTGAGTTCAGAGGTGTTTCTCTCCTACAAAGAGGCCCTCTGGTGCCCCAGCAGAGCTCTGAGAAAGAAAAAAGGTTCAAACAGTGCGTTTCAGGTCTGATGTTGGGAAAAGTGAAAAACTAACTTCATGGAGTAGAAAAATATACTGTGGAATATAAACTTTGTCTAAAATATGAACATCAAGTCTTCTGCAAACCAATCATGTCAAACAATAATGGATTAATCATAGTGATTCCCAACCAGGGCTTATGTTGAGAGATATAATAGAGAAATGAGAGAATTTATATTCACATGTGTTTAGGAGGAAAAAAAATACACAAGTAGGATTACAAATGATCTTTAGTACAATTATTGTCAGAATAACCAATAACCCACCAGACAGGCCGAAAACACAGGACTTTGAGTCAGTTTTAACATTTAAACACTGCTGCAAGTGACAGTTTGTGGAAATTGAAAGCTACTTACTAAGCAAGCAGAAAAATCAATAAAGACAGCTAAAAGTCATGGAAAAAGACAAAGTCTACGGCTATGCTAGTGCTGCTGTACTTACTGTGTTTGGAGCTAAATGCTAATTTGCTAATGTCAGTATGCTACCAACAAAATTTAGGCCTGAAACGTGCTGACATATTATAGACAAAATATGACCCAACTGAAGACAAAGGGGAACATATAGATATAATGGGTGATCAAACCATTTTAGAAACAAAGGGTTAACAAAGACAAACACTACCAACTAAACTAAAAATAAAACAAAACAGAACTACTAGCCTGTCAATATAAATATTTCACGAACTATCCAAAACAAAAAAAAACACAAAGACAACTATACTAATGAAATAAACAAATCCAAATACCAATCACTTCCATGATGTAGTGGACACTTCGTACCTGTATTTAAAGGCTGGGATTTAGGGGTTGCATCTTTTTCTCCAGCCTACCTGGAGAAATGCAGCAAATAGAGGCACTCTCAGCGCTGGTTACTCAAGAAGAAGAACTTCGCAAACTTATGTAAAAGTAAAGGCTGACTGTACAGAAGTATTACAAATAAACAATACGTATGATGTATGAGCCAAAAGCTATGTGTCATTATGTATGTGTGTGTACAATGGGCATGAGTTCGAAAGGTCATTAAAACTCACTGAGGAGAAAATGAACTATTAAATGTAAACAATAGACATAGCAGGACTACAAGTAAAGATAAAACCGTTATCCTTTTCTTTGTTGAAGGTCTAGAGGTGGAGGCCACAGGATGAAGGATAGTGTTGCACATGTACTTTTCACTGTGAAATAAATCAGCAAGTGAAGTTAATTACTTGAAGTATTTTAGGCCACCTGAAGCAGTAAAACCGACGTGTGCTCTGGCCTACCTGGGTCCGCAACTTCCCCATATAATAAGAGAAATTTAACTCTAAAGCCATCCGAGTACACACAAAGTGTCTCATCATTGATCTCCACTTGAAGTGGGATTTAAGTTAAACTGCATGAAGTGGATTGAACACTCACAATCGTTGATAGGAGTACATGACAACTTGTCTCGACAGTTCAGTCTGTGTAAAAGTCAACAAGGGGCTGGGCTGGTGGCACGGCAAAATACTTTTTTCACACTTGCACTACAAATATGCATTTAGTACTTTCACCACCAAACCACTTGTACATACCCTGGACAAACAAGCTTCCAGGATCGCATTTGACGTTCCCTTACATCCCCTCCATTATTGGCCAACCTTGATTGTTGTGAGAGGAAACACAAGGGAGGAAGAAGACTGGAGCAGGGCCAGAAGCTAAACTTCCTGCTCTCAATTTTCTTTTGGTAATATTAGCACTTTAAATTTTTCACAGCATATCATCCATACCCTAAAAGTCCATTTTAATACAACACAGATTAGAAAACCGATTAGTCCATTGATATTCAGCATGTGATCGGTCTATTTTGTGCAGTAGTAGAGTCAAATGTCGCACCAAACGCCCCCTTTTCCAGTGATAGTCCTTATCTCTGATTGGTTTTGTGATGCAGGCTAACGCAAAAAAAAAGCCTGGCTCTGTCTCATCAGTAGTGAATTCCTCAGGTCACCTGAGACTCACTGGCTGATCAGCACAGGTGGAATCACTCAGCTTGATTGCTCCTCTGGTAAAAGAGCATGAAATATGAAATAAGGTGGTGACAGGCATTCATCAATGAAATGTATTGTTCATTGTTTATAGACAAAACAGGAAAATTGTTATTTTTTGTTGCTACGTATTGCAGAATGTTGCACCTGCATCCTTCCATGTCTTATTTCTTCTCATAGTTCAGATGATATAAAGACCTGCAAATGAGTCTATTCACTCAATAAAGTAAAGTCGTCACACACAGAGACTTTTCTAATGTTTTGAATTGTCGTAAATGTCGCTAATCAAGAGAAAAAAATAATAAAAAATAAATGAATTTATTAGAAGAATATTTCAGATTAATAATTGAAACAAGGATGTGAATTGCAGTATTTCTATTTCTATTTCTATTTGAAACAAAGCGTTTGATACATCACAAAATCACATTTTAACAGTGGGTGGTCAACAATTAGGGGACTAACTTAATGACCACAGGTGTTTTCAATTTGAACCATTTTGAACAACCAATCAGGAGAGGCCACGGCCTACCATGTGGGTATAAGAGCTGCAGGTGAGCACTCAGGGCCTGTACTCTATTGTTGCTTTTGCTCAGCGTGAAACAAATATGGCATCTGCAGGTCTCCAGATTTTGGGCGTCTTCCTGGCAACAGTCGGCTTTCTGGGCGATATCATCATCTGCATCCTGCCCATGTGGAAGGTGTCTGCTTTCATCGGGAACAACATCGTGACGGCACAGACCTTTTGGGAGGGCCTGTGGATGAACTGTGTGAAGCAGAGCACCGGGCAGATGCAGTGCAAGGTCTACGACTCTCTGCTGGCTCTCCCTCGTGATTTGCAGGCGGCCCGGGCCTTGGTTGTCGTCTCCATCCTGGTCGCCTTAATGGGAATCCTGCTTTCTATCGCCGGAGGAAAATGCACCAACTGTATTGAAGATGAAGCGGCCAAGACCAGGGTAGCCATTGCTGCGGGGGTGTTCTTCATCGTTGGCGGTATCCTGTGCCTGATCCCCGTGTCCTGGTCTGCGCACGAGGTCATCAGAAACTTCTACAACCCCATGATTATCGACTCGCAGAGGAGGGAGCTCGGAGCGGCGCTGTTCATCGGTTGGGGCTCAGCAGGACTCATGTTGATTGGCGGGGTCCTTCATTGCTGCCATTGTCGCCAGCGTACAGATAGAGGATACACTGCCAAATATTCTGCCGCACGCTCAGCAGCCAGCGGAGGAGCCTATGTTTAAAATGTCTGCTTTCTTGTTTAGCTCTAGGAAACTAGACTGAACTCTTCAAAGCAATATTTTATGATCTTAACTTTATTTCAAGTTGTTTTTTGCTGATTTTGTTTTTAATAAATTAAACTTTGCTTATAACCACTGACATTTCTCGTTTGTGGGGCGTCTGCTTGATGGTGACTTTAAAGATTTTGAGATGGTGGTTTGGGCTTTACAAAGCCTTAGCTCTTGGCTTCCTTCAACCTAGCTGGTATAGGTGTCTTACTTTAGTGTCACTGTTACCACTTTGCATCTTATTTACACTTTCAAGTGTTTCAGTAACTCACTTCTAGCCTAAAGTCTTCTCTGTGGTTAATCTGAAGTAATGCCAGGGTTGTGTGAAACTGATGCAGTAGGTCTTTCAGACATTTATACATGGTAGGAGACTTGTGAACTAGCATGCTCAATACTTGTATCTGAATCACTAATTTACTCTTTTGTGAGCACTGAATTTGAGTACACTGACTCGTATTGCTCAAGAATCTCAATGGTGTTTTTTTTTTTTTGTATCTGACTTATTTCATTGTCTTCCCCCCCGCCCCCCTACACACAGCAGGCATTTTGACACTTTTAGGACAAAGGCAGGTGCTACTAATAACACCGATGACTCGGTTCCATTGCAATGTCTGGTGGCAGTGAGCCAGCATGCACAATACCAGAAACCTGAACTCAAAATGGCTAAATGGAATTCAGCCGCTATTCTATTTAACACCTGTGCTTTTCCTATCGTGATGCGTCCTCCATGAGGTCTATTGTCATTTCTGAGGGAGCGATAAACACTAGTTTCATTCCTCAGATGCTCTCGTAAGATTGGTGCTGTCTTAAGAGCTAACACTTAGCCTGGCTCTGTCCGAAAGCAACCAAATCTGCTACCCTCACCTCTAAAGCTCATTAATGAACATGTATCCTATATTTGTTTAATCTATAATAGTTTGACCACAAGGTAATCTGCCACATATCCTCCTGTAAACATGCTGGTAGGTGGAGTTTTGTTACCGTTGGACAGACAGGCTCGATGTTTCACTTGTCTTAGTGCTAACTGGCTGTGGCTGCATATTTACCGCATAGACCTGAGAGGTATCGATCTTCTCAGCAAGAAAGCATGTTCTGCAAACAGTCAAACTATTCCTGAGTAGTTTTGAGATAAAACAATTCACTCCAGTATTCATGAACTTTTACGCAGGCAGTACGTGATTCATCTGCAGTATTTCTTAAACCTGGATGATGGTTCCAGAAATCTTCTAGTTTCTCTTAAGTATTATCAACACATGGTTTTAAATTAAATCACACTAGTGAGCATTACTTTTGTTAATATTCTCTACTCTTTTCTTCCTATTTATCAGTGTGTACTTTATTCCCCGGAAGCTCTGTACAAGAATGCTTTTTTTTTAGGTTTATGCATTCATTTAATTTTCTTATTTAAAGTCTGACCTGAAGATATGTGAAAGTTATCCTTTTCTGAAAATGGTTAAAATTGCTGCTTCGATCCATTTAAAATGTGATTTAAGCCTTTTGTATTGGTTCACAAAGCAGTCTTTCAGACGTGAGCGCTTTTGTCTACAGCTTTCTCCTCCTACTTATTCATTGTGAGCAGGAATCAGGACAAGCAGGAAACCTGATCCACAAACTAGCAAAGTCCACTCCCTGTTGCTCTTCCTTCTTAAACCTGCACCGCAAAACCACACAGCAAAACACAGCCACTGCTGTGTTTACAGCCGCGTGAACGCTCGTGGTTAAAATGATCTTCAGCTAAACTGAAGCTGGATTTTGTTGCTGTCTTTGACTTTTTGGCGAACATTAAATACATGCCTTGGATCTCTTTTTTGGCAAAATGCAGACGCAGCTCGTCGGTATGTGTTTGGCAATCATCGGCTTTCTTGGCACCATCCTTATCTGTGGACTGCCTATGTGGAAGGTGACCGCCTTTGTTGGGGCCAGCATCATCACCTCTCAGGTCTTCTGGGAAGGTTTGTGGATGAATTGTGTGATCCAGAGTACGGGTCAATCGCAGTGTAAGGCCTACGACTCCGTTCTGGCTCTACCACAGGATCTGCAGGCTTCCAGGGCTCTGATCTGCGTCTCCATTGCTGTCAGCGTGGTGGCCATAGGGCTCACTGTGGTCGGAGCCCGCTGCACCAACTTCTTTTCAAGGGACTGGCTGGCCAAAGCTAATATTGGCCTGGCTGGAGGTTTGGTGTTTGTTTTAGCAGGGCTCCTGTGCATTATTCCGGTCAGCTTGTCAGCTTCCAACATCATCACAGGTTTCTACAACCCCCTGCCCACCTCGGAGAGGAGGGGAGAGCTCGGGGCTTCCATATATGTGGGCTGGGCGTCTGGAGCTCTGCTCATCATTGGAGGAGGGGTGTTGTGTAGCACTTACCGATGCTGAGGATGAGGAGGAGAGTATCGGCTACAAGACACGTCGACACCATGCGACCATTTGAGACTGTGCAGTAATGTGTTTACTGTGATGGACTTTGTTTTTGATTACAGCTTCTTTTTCAACATTTATTTCAACCTTAGCTAAATGCACTGTATTGACATTTTACAACTACAGTAATCCATGTAAAATATGAAATAGTGAAGTGAAGTGTATGTAAATTGCACGACCAGGACATACTGTTCTTTTTAAAGTGAAGGATGATAAAATGAAGTTTGGTTGAGCCAATAGTTGTAAAATGTGCTATTTTAGGATGTTAATGATGAAAAAAAGAGATCTAAGTATATGTGATTGTTTATGTGCAGTGCACACTATGAATGCTGCAAAAATAAATGACTTAAAGTCCTTTAAAGTTCACCGTTGTCATGTTCATTAACAATATTAAGGTTTTTTTTAACTGCTAGGGAAATGTGTCTCTGCAACCATGCAGTTTTACTATTTTACTTGTCTCTGCATACATGATGCCCAGAGAAGAGTGAAATATGTTGCTTTGAGACCCTCTTTGCTGTACTTCGGGCATTTCAGTGAATAAAGCCTGAAAAACCTGATTTGGTTCTAGCTCAGAGGTGTTTGAATATACTCTCTGTATATTTACAGATAGCTCACAAGTTGCCTGTCTCCACCATATTTGCACATCTCTGTTGATCTTTGTGTCATCTGTCTACTGAACGTAACAGCAAACCATAACAGCTGACGCGAGCAGCTCACTCTCCATTTCATCGAAAACAAGACAAGAGATATATTGGATACAGTGGATATATTTTTGGTAAATCAGTTTGGGTTTTTAGTTTATTGCTGCAAACTGAATATTTTTAAATGGGAGGGCAGGGCAGGCAGATCGGGGGTCTGGCACTGGTTCTGATGGGTGTTTTAGGAGTGTGTTTGGTATGTGGACTGCCTATGTGGCGTGAGGCGTCTTTTGTGGGGGCAAATATTGTGACACCTCAATCGGTAAGTTTATACACACAGAGAAATTAAGAACAAAATACAAAATATACCTTACAGACGTGTGAGTGACTTTTTTTTACAGTTAAATGCTGGATTACATTGAGTTGCTCAGTTACCTTACTTTAACTTACAAAATAACTTACCAAAGAATTAAACACCAAAAGTCTTTAAATTTAATTTTTTATTCTGCACCAACACAAAGCATAACTGAGCATATGCTGCTTCTCAATTCACAGTTTATGGACCATCTCACCTACGTCAAAACTTAATCAACATCTTTGCTTATGGTTCCCTCTGTCTCTGTCTTAGGTCTGGGATGGTCTGTGGTTACACTGTCTCCTTCAGGCCACAGGTCAGATGCAGTGCAAGAGACACACAGCATCCATCACTTTGACCTCTGACATCCAGGCTTGATCTCCATCCTTGCTGGCCTCCTGGGCTACATTGTCACCCTCCTCGGAGGAGGCGCCGTCGACTGCAGTGGCGCTCCATCGGATCCCTTAGAGCCTTCGACCACCTCTTCCTCCAGAAAAAAGGTGCTGATGTTGTATTTGTATCGTGCAGACTGGCTGTTTTAGGATTTGCTAGGTAACACTGTAATAACATACCAAGGACTTTATTTCAGTTTTTAATCCTAAAATTGTACTGTCCTCAAAACAATAAAAAGAGAGGGCCACTGGTGAAAATTTGCTGTGGGCTATTGATCCTTTATGTTATTTAGTTTTGAAGAAACACTGCATTTAGGATATGCACTTACGTAGGATTTGGACATACGGTCCTTCTGGAAAACAGAGCCTCAAAATAAAATAGCTGGAGCCATCTCGAGGCCTTTTCCATTTCCATGTAGGTGGTGTTTAGCAGTACATATAACAAAACAAGTGTGTAAATTCATCAAATTTACAGTGAACCTGGCTTTTGATGATCTGGGGTTTTTGGGCAGTAACCAGCCTGCCTGGTTGATAATCCTGCCTCGAGGGCACTAACAAAAAAAACTGAAAAATAAGGTCAAGATGTGTGTAAAACTATTTCTGTGTGTTAATGGAAAATGAAAGCCTCTATGTGTGGCGATGGTTTCTATCATACTTCAACAAAAAACAATTTAGGCCCATCCAAATTATTTTAAATATATCTTGTAGTCCCAAACCTTCTGCACAGAATCACTGATCATTGATATATCGTATCAGTGATATCCTCTGTTTATCCAGGTATGTCTGCTGGGTGGAGCTCTGTGTGTCTTAGCTGGCATCCTGTGCCTGGTTGCAGTCAGCTGGTCCGCAGCAGCAACCATCTCAATCTACAATGAGGGTCATGTGACTGCAGCCCCGAAAAGAGAGGTGGGCTCCTCCATCTACATAGGCTGGGCCTCCTCCATGCTGCTCCTCCTCGGCGGTGCTCTGATCTGCTTCGTCTGTGGGGAGCGGGAGAGAACCCCACCTCCCTACTACTCCTACACGCCATACAGCACCTACACTCAATCCAGCAAAGCTGCATCCCGCGGGGCCACTCTGAGGTCTGATGTCATGGGACCAAACACCTCGAGGATGTTTGACGGACGTACGCCAACTAGGATGTTGGAGCACGTCACCCAAGTGCATGAGCATACCTCCCTGAATAAAGCTCAGAGTGGGCTGTTTAATCAGCCTCAGGGGACGCAAGCAGGATCTGAGCAGGGGACGTTTGGCGGTAATCCCTCAAACAGATCAGGGAGACCAGATAAGGGGAAAGGTTTATTCATAGGAATGAAGCCAAATCTGGTCCATGACCTTCCCAGCAGAGCCACAACAGTGCCCAGTGATTATTTTTACAATATGGCCAAAACTGGATGTGTGAATCTGCATGGATCATTTCTCTGAGAATGACTGAACACAATAATTACTTAACAGTCGTCACTGTTTACATGTTAATTCATGTTTGATATAATCAAATTTGATATTGTTTTTCATTACTCATGATATCTGGGTTTACAAGCAGCGGCCTGCTGGTGGACCAGTCTTTACAAATATACCAGAAAACATTTGGTGTCTGGTATATTTGTATGCTGTTTTTATTATTTATGGAGTCTTGAACCTTATAAACATCATAAACTTCAATGAAGAACTGCAAAAGATGATACATGACATATATCAACAGTGTAAAGTAAGATTATTTCAACAACTGTAAAGTTACTTATGCGGATATAAAAGGGTAAAACTGTATGTTCAGGGTTTAACTTCATGAGTGGCTCTGTTCTTTCAACACATATTTGATCAAATAGAGTTAATGGGTTTCCCATTTCCGTTGTATCTTTATCAAGAGAAGGGACATGCACACATTTGTGAAGATAACTCATTTTCTGTGGTAAAATATTATCAATTCATTCTCTTCCTCCAGAGATATTGTTGTGATAAGATAAGGGATTACAAAATGCAGATTTAGGATTGCTTGTTTAGCATGTTTTTCTGAGCTATGTATTAAAAGAAGGACAGATATATCAAGTCGAATCTAAAAGAAAAACAGTACTACAAATACTCTTTGTTGAGCAGAGCCAATTTCAGATTGATTGCACTGGCTCGTCTTTATATTGACTGAGGAAAATACTTCATCTTTACATCATATTCCTTTTGGTTTAGATAAACTCCACTTTAATACAATGATTCAACTGAATGAAGGTCAGCTATAGCTTTCCTATGTCAGAACCACAAGTGTCAGATTTGTGTTAAAGGACAACTTTTGCAGGACAGTTCAGCAAATATCTGCTGCTTCACTCAGCCGCACGGTGAATTCTGACCACATCCACGGTGCTCTGCAGCTGACCTCCTTCTGCAAGGAGAAGAACCAGAGAGGATTGCCCTGCAGGCATGTTGTTATGCGAGTATCCAAACACAAACATGTCATTACACTCTTCTAGTAACGATAGGCAGTGTGATCATCCAGGAAGTGTGACTCATGTGCTCTGTGTGGGAGCCATTTCAAAACTATTGTTCCGTGCCAATCGGAAGAGTACCTGAGAATTAACATTCGCTGTCAATGAAGAATTTCGATTTCTAACTTCTTTACTTGGGGATTTAAGTGATTTTGTATTTAAAAGTGAAGATGAACAAAAGTGACATGAGTAATAAATCACAACTGGATGGTCTCACAGACATGAATCAAACAAATGAATAAAGTAGAAACTGACCCTGAAACTGAGGCTTACCACAGTGACATTTGTGTCACTGCTTGTGTGTTGATGAGAAGCATTGTTTGTATCCGTGCAGTATTTCAGTGGTTTTTGACCTCTGTGTGCATCTCTGTTGAGAAGCAATCTGGTCAGGTGAGATTTCTTCACAAACCAGTGTCAGCTGAGAGGCAACGGCGGCAAACTCCTCCTCTGATTTCTCCCTTAACAGCAAAACCTGTAAGTGAAGCAGCCACTGTTAGCTTCTCCTTTGAGTGGGCAATAAAAAACCTCCACCCGCTCCTTTGTCTAAAGTAAATAGGAACTTTTGCAGTATGAGTCTAACTTAAGCGTGTCTTTTTGATGCAAATTTTAGTCTTAAAAACATAGATAAAAATCCAAAATGTGAAGTTTACTAGTCCCCCTCACTAATACATTATGTTTTGTATGACACGTGAGATTCAGAACATGACTGCTATATATGAAACACATTGTATATTTATGAAACTTGCATGTATAGTTACTGTTTTGTGTCAAGCCTGATACTTCGTACTTTTTCTCGATGACACTAGAATATTGATGATTATGTGACTGATTCACAGTAGCTGCTTGAGTAGAATTTTTCTTTTGTCATTTGTAAGACACATACAGTATTTGTGAGCATGGGAGATAGTGTTTCTCTTCGGTCCTTTTCCATCTCGTCCTGGCATTTTAAAAAAAAGGACCAGTTACACTGATGACATGTGCCAAAACACTTGCTGTAAAGCGGATCAGGTTTGTCAAGCGTAGCTGAAAGAATCCTCACTAACAGGTTATGTGACAAAGTGTGCTTCCTGCCAAAGAAACGTTGCTAAATAAACATCTACATGAGAATAAATATTTGAAAGCAATACAGAAAGTCTGCATTATATTCCTTTATCTTTCTATGTTTTCCTTTACATAAATACATTTCACCATAAATTGGCGCATGGAAATTCATCACAATGGAGGAAATTAAGTGTTTGACACTCAAAATGTCCGGTGAGAGGAGCCCCAGACCAATGTTGAAACAAAACCTACGCCCTTGATCAAAAGTATCTCTCTGAACTTTAGAGGAACAGCAAGATTAAAGATTATTTTGAGCCGTATTAAAAGGTTAAGTAGTGTGTGTCTGTGTGTGTGTGTGTGTGTGTGTGCGTGTGTGTGTTTGTGTGTGTGTAGGGAAGGGTTTTGCATGTTTCAAACAGGTTTTTCTGTGCAGTAGGCGCTGCTAGAATGAAACTGGTTTTCTCTCATGAGATTGTGTTCCACATTATTCTCCTTTTGTTACAGAAATACATTCTGCATGCACGCATTATTCACATGCACAAAAGCGTTGCCAGAGGATGTGTATACATATACACACACACTGAGCTCACTCAAGTATTAACTTTTGAATCAAATCAAATCTGACTCCTGCAGAAAGAAAACAATGCAGCGCCTCATGTGTGTGTATCTTGTAAACATGTTGAATGCCCAGAGGCCTATCATTCTCTCTGCTTCATCCAAAGCTTATCGTTACCAAAATATTCTCGTCAGACAAAGATGATAAGGGAGGGAATAGATGATGTCACGGTTTCGCTGCTACAACTCTCTTTCTCTCCCTCTCTGTTTTTCCATCAGCCTCCTCCCCCTTTTTGTTTCCCTATAGGTGTGGTGCATCCACACCTGACCAGTAGCACACAGACAGCCGCTCAGGTGACAGAAAAGAAGGAGCACTCTCAGGTGGAGAAATAAAGAGAGAGGGGACAGGGAGAGAGAGGGAGGAAGCAGTTGAAACTGACAGGAGTTAGAGATACGAGTTAGGGATAAGACAAAGGAAAAGTATGCTGTAAACAAATGAGAGAGACACACCCGGAGTCAAGCTACTGGAGGCTGGACGGACAACTGAAAGAGTCAGACAGGGCTCTGCGTTTCTGGGACACATACTTTACAACATCGCAACTGTGGCAAGAACAAAATAGCCGAAGAAAAGCACAAAAATGGAGGCGAATGAGAACGGCAACATCACACTTTGAGAAAAACTGACAAAGAAAAGCTGACAGAGAGATACAAGAGAGGAGAAGAGTCACCAGGAGTGAAAGCAAAAGAAGCTCCACAGACAGGAATAAAACCATTAGAGCACTTTTCTAAGGTCTGTGAGGATTTCTCGAGCACCCTCAGAGATCTTCCCAGCCCACCTACATCATGGCCTCCATGGGGATGCAGATGCTGGCCAGCGCTCTGTGCCTCCTGGGTTGGGCAGGGGTCATCGTCAGCTGCATACTGCCCATGTGGCGGGTCACAGCCTTCGTGGGAAGCACCATCGTCACCTCCCAGACCATCTGGGAGGGCATCTGGATGACCTGCGTGGTCCAGAGCACAGGGCAGATCATGTGTAAACCTTACGAGTCTCTCCTCGCTCTCAGCGCAGACCTACAGGCCGCCAGGGCTCTCACCGTCCTTGCTATCGCCACGGGCAGCGCAGGCCTCATTCTGGCCTTCATCGGAGGGAAGTGCACTCGCTTTTTGGATGAAGAAGGAGGCGGGGTCAAGAGCAAGGTGGCTGTAGCAGCAGGGGCCATTTTGATTGTCACAGGGTTGCTGTGTTTGATTCCCACATCATGGGCGGCCGGGTCCGTGGTGAAGAAGTTCTACAGCGCTTCCATCGATGCTCAGCGGAGGGAGATTGGAGCCTGTATCTACATCGGCTGGGGAGCGTCCATCCTGCTAATTCTGGGAGGGGGTTTGTTCATCAGCTCAAATTGCCCCCTCAATGCCCACAACACAGACAAGAGCCCTTCTGTCCGCTACCTGGTGGTCCGCTCCTCCAACGGGTCCAGCAAGACAGGTCCTCAAAGCAGCAGAGTACCACCAGCAACGTCTCAGCCTGACGGAGCGGTGCTTCCCAGGTCTCAAAGCGACAATGGAGCATCAACAAAGCCACCGCTGTACACAAGACCTCCATGGGAGGACGGGCCTGAGACGGACTCGAGACTGGAGTCAGAAAGATCATGGGCACCATCGACAAAGTCTCAGATGAAAAGACTGGGTTCAACAAAGTCTGAAAAGAGTGAGGCGCCATCTACAAAGTCTCAGCTGAAACGAGCAGAAATGGAAGACATTGTATCAGTGGAGAGTGAAAATGAGGATGCGTCCTCAAATCCAGCAAGAACATACCTATGATATGACACACACACACACACACACACACACACACACACACGTATATACGCACTTATGTTTATGCACAATAGAGAAGTTTTACATATAGGAGTTATTTGGCAGTAGTAGTTTACTTATTGTGTGACAATTTACTGAGGAAAAGTAGTTCACTGTGTTTATATAGTTATCTTTATACTTTATACTTTGTACATGTTGCTTTGATAAAAAGACGTAAAGAAGGAGGTCTGGACTACATTCACAATATGCAGGAGAATAGCAGTTTTAAATTCTTATGTGCACTAAAACAGAACTTAAAACCAAACAGTAACAAACTAAATCCAGGTACACGTGAAGTATGCTATCGTTATTGTCTTTTTTATCTTTTTTATTGAAAGAACATTGTTGGTTTTAACTTTGACATGTTGTGGGACATTACACTGGTATCAACCTTTCTCACTATTTAAATGCATGAATGAGGATGAATCCATCCACATTACCAACTTCAGCTCAGACTTTTTAGCTTGTTTGTTTCTGCTGGAGGTACAGCAACCTTAACAGCATCAAGTGACATATGCAACATATTTTAGCCTTCTGATACCAATTATTGTTTTAATCCAAGGATGTGCTAACTTGATGAGATCTATGGCCATGAAAAACTTAAATATATGAATAGTTTATTTGTACAGATATTGTTGACAAATAATTGTAGATTTTCATTCATACTTTTCAATAAATGACTGTAATTTGATTGAGCTGGTCTTTTTCCCTTTTATAAATGTATTAAACGTGCTAACAGGTCACACATGCCTTTCTTTTAAAGAACACAGGATGAACTTTCATTCTAGCTCCTGGCTATTAAAATCTATGAAAAACTGGTTTGACAGAAAATGTGTTCACAGCGGACGTGTGCAGCTTTGGAAGAGGGAGGCACAGTGTGTTTGTAGAGGATTCAAATTCAGTTTCAGTGACTCACATTGATGGAACATGTGTCGTTTTATTTATTCATTTATTTATTATCTAAGCTAATGCTGCCAGTTGTCTAAAATAATAATAATAATAACAATACATTTTATTTATAGAGCGCTTCTCAGAATACTCAAAGACACTTTACATTAAAGCTATACACTAAAAATGTAAAACACACAATGCCAAATACACAAGTTGCCAAATGCACAAGTTTTACTTTAGAGAGGACTTTGTGTTATGGACACATTTACATACATAAGGAAGGAGGAAACTAGAGAAACAAGTAGTATAACATAAAACATAAAACATAAATAAAACCACACTGAAGTAATCCAACAAACATGAAATGAAGTTGTCTGGGTTTGAACAATGTGTAGGTGTACAGCATGACTGACCCAGCGGTACAGGCCACTGTAACTTAATGCAAACACTCGATTGATGTTCAGCCTCGTCTCTTACTATTGTGAAACACTGCCATCCCATGGTCAGTGGAGAACATCTGATCAAAATAACCTTCCATGTTTCAGGTCCTGCTTGTCCCAATTCCAGGCCACATACTAAATATACACAGTTGAATATATATCTATTCGCATATATATTGTTTTTCTAAGTATGCATGACTGTTCAGAGTGCTTATTTAGTCACTTTTTCCGTTTGAACCTCATCGTGTGTTTGCGTTGTTATGCTGTAGTTGAAAACGAGAATCACACAATGATATACATTGGATCATTATTTATACAGTTAATGTTACTAATTATTTAATGTGCATAGATTTCGACTTGTACAGTTAACAATCCTGTTTTAAAGTATTACATATGTATATATACTTCGGCGATTCATTGTTCTTCAAATAGGTTGTGTCATTGTGTTGAGTATCTGTTAAGTCCGTTTCATGTTTTATTTTGAAGTTCACTCCGCATGTACCATGTATGTCATGTCTGGTTTAATTTCCTCTTTTTGAGGTTTTTTTTTCTCCTTTTGATTGAGTGTCCTGCCCTAATCAGTTTCACCTGTCCCTCTTTACTCCTGCACTCACCACCTGCTCACCTCTTCTCACTTCCCTCGTTATAGTCAGTCACTGCACCGCCTCAGTCCCTTTGTTGTCACATGGAGTTTTGTTCACTTGTAACCTGCCTGCTGTTCCTGCCTGCTTTTTTTTGGATTCTTTGCTTGTAAGCTTTTTGCTTAATTAAATTTTTTCTTTGTATTAATCCGCCTGACAAGTTGTCCCTGTACTTAAAAAGACATATCTACAGCTTTAATTTAAAGGAGTACATTGATTTTAAAGATCAAAACATTTACTTGAAGAAGCCTATACTAAGTTTAAAAACACTGCACACAGACAATTGTAAACAGAGCATTAAACAGTGTTGTTAGTCTTGGAGAAGCAGATGTCACGGATGCTTATTGGACAAGAAATATGTTCTGTTCACATCAGTGTCAGTCAGTAAAAGACAGACAATATCAAAAGAAAAATCTCGAGAAATGACATTTTAAGTGTAGATTGAATTACTTGAGTATGTTGTATCTCCTTGCATATTTTGTCTACATTTGCTTGTCTGACTCACAATATGGTATGTCACATCTCTGTTGTGCTACAGTTTCTAGTAGCGGTACACATGAGCCTGACATTCCTCTTGCCAAGTTTTCCACCTCAGTGACGGCTACACAACTCCAAAGCCCTTCTTCCTCCATCTGCTTCAGATCACGCTCCAGAGCAGCTTTGTATTCCAGGTTGTCGACGCTTTCTCTGCACGCCATGCGAACGTAGCCACTTAAAAAGAACAGGTGACAGTGTAGCTGATGGGTAAATGATTTCATTGTGTCAAAATGGACAGATAACACGTAGCCTACATAAAATACAATTAAAACATTCACAATGATTTTTTTCATGCACTATGGATTGAAGCCCTCACCACAAAGTTTTACCTGGTTTTGCAGGCGAAGCACACTCTGCCAGTTCTGGAGTGAAGTACATATGTAGGGTACCAAATTAGTCCAGTAGATGTCCCCCTTGCTGCTTTGGCTCTGGAAGCTATAATAGAGGTAGTTAGGGGGACAGGTGCTGCTGGACGGAGGAGCATTACTATCTTTTTGACAGCCATGCTTTGTGAACGCTGTGTAGTTGTGACGGTGAAACGTTGCGCTGTATGGAGAATCTTTCATTCTTGCACGTAACTGGTAGAAGACCATAAAATATTCCATCAAAAACAAAGAAGCAGTAGTTTGAGTCTGTTATTTCCCTAAAGTTAGAGACTATACGCGGTGCTGTCATGTGCCGCTTCTCTGAGTACAGGCTTCTGTGTTAATCTCACTCTCTGTCCCTCAGGCTGTCGAGGGAATGTGGATAAACTACGATAGGCCTTGTCTTCTTCTCCTGGGAGTATTTTTACTTTTGAGGGTCATTTTGAGTCAAGCTCTTTGAAAACTGGAATTACAGAGTTGAGCTTGTCAAAGTAATCTAAATGTGTATTAGTGAATGTATAACAATGTAGGTGGGAGTGCATTTCTGTGTCAGCCTCACCTGTCGATCAATGGCCATCGTCTGTCTCTCTTTCTCTACTGTCTCTAATGCACTAAATCAGTTTTTTATTATTACAATTGGCATAATATGCAATGATGGGACATTAAGTGCAATATTATGGGCATGAACAATGTAGTCTTAGACCACTTACAGGTGCTGGTCATATAATTTGAATATCATCAAAAAGTTGATTTATTTCACTAATTCCATTCAAAAAGTGAAACTTGTCTATTATATTCATTCATTACACACAGACTGATATATTTCAAATGTTTATTTCTTTTAATTTTGATGATTATAACTGACAACTAAGGAAAATCCCAAATTCAGTATCTCAGAAAATTAGAATATTACTTAAGACCAATACAAAGAAAGGATTTTTAGAAATCTTGGCCAACTGAAAAGTATGAACATGAAAAGTATGAGCATGTACAGCACTCAATACTTAGTTGGGGCTCCTTTTGCCTGAATTACTGCAGCAATGCGGCTTGGCATGGAGTCGATGAGTCTGTGGCACTGCTCAGGTGTTATGAGAGCCCAGGTTGCTCTGATAGTGGCCTTCTGCATTGCTGGGTCTGACATTTCGCATCATCCTCTTCACCATACCCCATAGATTTTCTATGGTGTTAAGGTCAGGCGAGTTTGCTGGCCAATTAAGAACAGGGATACCATGGTCCTTAAACCAGGTACTGGTTGCTTTGGCACTGTGTGCAGGTGCCAAGTCCTGTTGGAAAATGAAATCTGCATCTCCATAAAGTTGGTCAGCAGCAGGAAGCATGAAGTGCTCTAAAACTTCCTGGTATACGGCTGCATTGACCTTGGACCTCAGAAAACACAGTGGACCAACACCAGCAGATGACATGGCACCCCAAACCATCACTGACTGTGGAAACTTTACACTGGACCTCAAGCAACGTGGATTGTGTCTCTCCTCTCTTTCTCCAGACTCTGGGACCCTGATTTCCAAAGGAAATGCAAAATTTACTTTCATCAGAGAACATAACTTTGGACCACTCGGCAGCAGTCCAGTCCTTTTTGTCTTTAGCCCAGGCGAGACGCTTCTGACGCTGTCTGTTGTTCAAGAGTGGCTTGACACAAGGAATGCGACAGCTGAAACCCATGTCTTGCGTACGCCTGTGCGTAGTGGTTCTTGAAGCACTGACTCCAGCTGCAGTCCACTCTTTCTGAATCTCCCCCACATTTTTGAATCGGTTTTGTTTCACAATCCTCTCCAGGGTGCGGTTATCCCTATTGCTTGTACACTTTTTTCTACCACATCTTTTCCTTCCCTTCGCCTCTCTATTAATGTGCTTGGACACAGAGCTCTGTGAACAGCCAGCCTCTTTTGCAATGACCTTTTGTGTCTCGCCCTCCTTGTGCAAGGTGTCAATGGTCGTCTTTTGGACAACTGTCAAGTCAGCAGTCTTCCCCATGATTGTGTAGCCTACAGAACTAGACTGAGAGACCATTTAAAGGCCTTTGCAGGTGTTTTGAGTTCATTAGCTGATTAGAGTGTGGCACCAGGTGTCTTCAATATTGAACCTTTTCACAATATTCTAATTTTCTGAGATACTGAATTTGGGATTTTCCTTAGTTGTCAGTTATAATCATCAAAATTAAAAGAAATAAACATTTGAAATATCAGTCTGTGTGTAATGAATGAATATAATGGATAAGTTTCACTTTTTGAATGGAATTAGTGAAATAAATCAACTTTTTGATGATATTCTAATTATATGACCAGCACCTGTATACTTCAGACCTGATAGTGTACACACTATGTATAGACTGATCCCTGCCTGTTTGTGATCCATACTGCTTACCTGAATTTAACCCAACAGAATATTTCTTTATTCTTTCCTTAACTTCTATTTATTACATTTTTTTTAACCAGCACTAGACCAACCACAATGTTTTCTGTCTGTTCTGCAGCTGTGATTTTACCCTCTTTGCCACCAGTCCAGTACCGCAGGCCACATCCAGCACGACAGCTGCTTAACGGTCGCCACTGAAAAGGAAGGAGGTGCTTTTTGCTCCATGACTAGCGGCATCGTAGCCCAGAACAACTGCATCTTATTCAAGGTAGGATTGACGGAGCACGGTGGTTCTTTCAACAAACAATCTCAAGCAACACTCAATACAGAAATATATCACATGTCATTTACAACTGTTCATTTAAAGGACTCCTTCACTTTTAGGTGCCAAACCATGGTGGTAGAAAGAAAGTACTATTCCTTGTGTGGTTGGTTATATGTATACCTGTTATTACTAAGACACAAATACAATTAGCACAACAAACCATAATCATGCTGATGTATACGGGATTTTAGTAAGTATTTTTTAGGGAGTCTGAAGAAAGAAACAATAACCTATCAACCTCTTATTTTGTACACAAGGACAAGACTGATAGCTAATGTATATTTATTTATGATCCTCTAACAGTGTTTAGACTGACATGAGATTGAAAAGATCATGAAGGAAATGTGTTGAAACACCTCATTAATGAGGCATTAAAGAGGGCTTTGTGGTATCAATGATTCAAAAGAGCCTATAAGAAGTTACCCCATCTGAGGTTTTCCTTTCTCGTGGCTCAAAATTAATTGGAAAAAAGTAAAATAAACTTAAATTTATAAAAAAATTGTTGAATAATAATATAGATCAAAACAAATAGGTTAGGTAAAAGTTCTGTTCTAAGTACAGACATCTGACTCGCCGGGGGCAGCTCTCCATAGAGTCGTGGGTCATCCAGTCTGATGTGGAGAAAGGATCTTTGGGGTTTTGGTAGTTTCTTTAAATAAGGTCATTCATAGTCATATCTTCTCACAGAAGATATGGTGGAGACGGAGAACACTTCTCTACCAATCCCCCGTCAGATTTCATGGTTTGTCACCTCCCACCATCACCTTATCTTGGGTTCACACAAAACAGAAAAAAAACACAACAGATAAAACAGCCAAATTATTAAAAAAAAAAGTATTTTGAATGTAAAAGTACAGTAGCTTGATACAGTACCGTGGACATTGCTTTGATTGTTTTCTTGATATCGGGGAACTTTATTGTGGGTGCTATTGTACCTGAAGTAAGCTTTACAGGTCAACATTTTGGGGCAATGCACTTATTAACTTTTTCCCCCTAAGAGTGAGATGAGCTAAGCATAAAGACTGGAGGCAGCTAGCACGGCCCTGCCCATTGTGTATGTTGTGAGGGAGATTACAAATCACACACTACATGTCATGTTTGAATGTCTTTACTGCACATTTGAATACCTTTACTGCATGTGTAATCATGTTACGTTTGATCATTCAGAGTTGAGAACTGGCAGAGCGTCTGCTAATTGTTATCCATTAGAGGCCAAGGCTGATAAGAAAAAGGCTGGAGGGAGCATGAACAGAAAAGGAGACACGAGATAAGATCACAAGGTAAACAGCTTCTCATCAGTGTCCATGTTGCAAACCAACCTTTATCTTGTGTATCATGCCCTGAGCATTAGTGAAACAACTGTTGAGAAAGTTTTACCTTGTGTCTTGAATTGTCTTTTGTTCCATGTCAACTGAACAAATGTATTGTGCTGATACTGGAGTTTTTATACAGTAGTTGTATACTTGCTGTTTTGTCGTAGAAGTGTTCTACTTTCGATAAGTTGTCGCTGTGTTTCCACTGAGAAATTTTCTCTCTTGTAGGTCAGGTTGTAACTAACGAGACTGGAGCAGTGCTGGTAAGAAAATACGAGTCTTCTCAATTTCTACAAAACAACTTGTCTGCATCTTTATTATACAGCCTGAATATTTCCCAAGAGCCACTTCATCACTACAACTGCATCTATTTTTTTTCTTGACTTCACAAAATGCAAAATGTGGAGGAGTGATGCCAGCTGCCATTGGATCTAGACTACTACAGACTACTACAGGGCTGATATGTAGGGGCAGACAACCAATCACACCTACGAGCAATTTAGAGTCATCAATGAACCTGGGCTGCATGTCTTTGGACTGTTGGAGGAAGGCAGAGAACCCACGCTGATGGGGGGAGAACATGCAAACTGTACACAGAAGGGCCGTGCAGCCCGGGATCGAACCTGCGGCCCTCTTGCTGTGAGTGCTTTAAATTATGTTTTAGATATTTATTATTTTGATCAATGATTTTTCTTTTTTTTCTTCAGAAAGTAATTCTCCACTCCATGATACAACCATACACTGTATATAGAAGACCTTAAATGCATTATTTTGGCTTTTATTGGTGTCATATCGGACCCGTTTTCAGTTTATTTCTCCCCACAAGTTATATCTCTAACACTATCGGCTCTTAACAGTTATTGGCCTATTAATCTGCCGTCTACTTTTTCCTTCTCCAACCTATTATTCTTATATCAGCCTTTAAAAAACATTCGACCTCCAACTCATACCATGCTGTTTTGTTTTGGTTTAATGTATTAAGTCACGGTACAAACTGTTAGATTAATATAGCCCAACATGGGTTTGATGAGGTCATCACAACAATATCAAATTAGGGTACATTTTTATTTCATTCCACACAAATCCAAATGGCTTTAGTCAACACAATAACGCTCTTCACTCTGTATTTTAATATGAATATTTATGAATGCATATTACTGCTGTAATACAAAAATAGTTACACCCTCAAATGTGTGCTCTGTAGAAACTACTAGATGTTGTGATAGTTGACTACACCCGATCTCCACTAAATTGTATAAATAGCAATGTCATGTAATAGTTACAAATTAATTTCCTTAATTTGCAAAATTCAGACTGAAGTGTAAACTCGTCCACTAAATTTCAGCATTCAGTCTCAGCAATTCATCTATAAACTGCACTACAGCAACATGATCATTGCAAACGGCCAAACCTCGGGGGTAAAGAGCAGACTCTTAAATGACTCGGATGACATTTTGTACAAATTGCCATTACTGGACATGAGTTAATTATTCTGCAAAGGTCCAAGCCAATCGCCCAATTAGGCATTTGGATTGTCTGTCAAATGTGTATTTGAAGCACAGTCATATGCAGATAAATAATTCATAAGAATGATCCATTATTAAAAAAGAGGTAATGTTTTGCTCCATAGTTAAGATTACTAAATTAACTGACACATTATGCAAGAATGATTAAATCATTGTCTGAGACAACAACTTATGTCTGCACAAACATCAGGAAAACATTGCTGTATGATCAGTTGTAATGAAATTATATGAACAAAATCATTTCACAAATCTGTTGTGCATGTGAGAAACAAAAGGCATCCCCTCGAGTACAATATTGTTTTCGGTGTCAAAACATTTTTTTAACAACTGGACTTGAATTTGGCAAGAAAATCCCATTCTAGAAAAACGAAACACTTAACTCCCCACAATGACCTCAAGAAAACACGTATGGTGACGTTATTTAAGGATTTATAGGACAAATAAATAAGGTCAAAGATGCAAATTGAAGCACTTATGCAATGGTTTGAAAAAAAAAAAGAAAAAAGAGGACACAATACCATTTACACAAGACCAATGTTGGCCTCATTTATATATCAATGTGCCAAAATGAACCAATCGTTTGTCAGTGTTCAGTCCATGAAGGAGTCTGTCCAACAGGCCGGTCCAAATAAACAACACGCAGAGTGTCTGGCTGTGCATCTTGCATCCAGCCTCTCCCTTTGTAAGGATGCAATGAGGAGTGTAGTAGAATAAACTTTCACTAAGTTTATATCTGTTAAATACAGTGCACACAACGCTGTCAATCATCTTTACCGTGTGAATTAATATTGGCCTTAACCAAGTTAAATACAAGCAGCCTGTTCAACAAGGTAAAAGTTAATGGATACCATACTGTTTATCTCAGGGGAAAACAATTAGATTCTACCTGCAGTGATTGTCTCCAACACTGACCCTGAGAAGTACATGAGCCGAGGAAAAACAAAAGAACAGGAATGCCATGAATCTGTAAATGAGTCCGGGTATGGCATTAACCCCAAACTTAAAGTGGACCTAATGCTAAGACACATGAGCACAATGAGAGCAAATAAAACCGTAGCAACTCCAATCATAATAGTAAAAAATAAAGTTCAAGGCACGTCAACAGTCTAGAGTACAAAATATAAAAACTTGAAATGTATACTACATGCCTATGAACTACCATGATGAGGCACTACAAACAATAGAGGCACCTGTGTGCTGTGAACAGTAAAGGAAGTCTGTGAACCCAGTAACAGAAACCGGCAAAGAAACAAGTGAAAGACCAAACGCAGCGTTTACCTCTGTATACACACTGTCCCTGCACACGTCAGCTCGTCAAAATCTGGACTTTTTTCTGTGTTGAAATTACCATTTTTATAAATTACTTTAATCCGCAAGATTACAATGTTACTTTTTCACATTAAATATTAATGATCAAGAGTGTTTTTAAGTGTTCAAAGCTACATTCTACAATAGCTTGGTACATGTATAGAAATTTGGGCATTCTTTTTTTTATTTACTATTTTCAAAAGTCAAGTTCAAGAAACACTTTGCTGGTTTGAAAGAAGACGACCATATGAACAAAATCATAAGGATATTTAGAACTTGTCCAGAAGATCCTCCAGCCTGAAAAGGTAATTCACCAAATTACTGTAAATGCAGGAACTTTTGCCTAAAGCCTGTTTGTATCAAACGTTAACCTCAATCCGTCCCAAAATGTTGTTACGGCATAAACGGCTAACTTGTCATTGAGTTATGATATTATATCTGACATCTAACAGCTAAGTATCCCTTAAAACCACAAGAAAACATCAGCAACTCAATAATGCATCCATCTTCAGCACCATGCCCTGAATCGGTGTTGGATACACACAATAGTGTGTTCATTATTTATATATTTATAAAAAGATCTGTGGAAGGTGCTGTAGTGTAGCAGGTGGTACAACCTAGCAAGACAACCTGTGCAGGCAGCCAAACTAGTGTCTGTCTGTTGTTGAGGATACATTTAAAGTCTCTCCATAGCACACAGTCGTGGTGTATGCGTCTGTCCGTTAGTGTCAAACAGGTAAAACAACAACACAATAACCAAACATGTTGAGAAAGCACTGAGTCACAACAGCCGGTGCCCTCCTTCCTCGTACTGCATGACTAGGATCACACTTCTTCAAAGTAGGCCCTCTGAGACATGTACGCAGAGTTTCGCTGCAAAACAAGACGGGTATGAGCAGTTTAAAAGAGCAAAGGAGGCCAAACTCAGTGCAAAGAAATGTGCATTTGTGGTGTGATAAGCAACTCAGTGTACAGTTATGTAAAATGACTACTGTTCCATATGCTCCACATCCTACATGTTTTGTCACCCCACGACAGAATATATAAAAACAGAAACCCGTTAAACTGTTGGATGTTTTGGCTCAAAAAAATGTTTCTTATTTAACTGTAGACGAGAATGTTTGTGCTTCACGGATACAATAACAATTCTGATTGGCTAGTCAGCATCATATACTGTACAGTATTAGCTCTATTCACTTATTTACTCTATAAAGCATTCTGGCAGGTAACCAGTAAATTGTAATATAATACAAAGAGCATACATACATTGCTGTGAGGGGCGTAGGCGGGCTCCTGGACGTATCCCCTCGCCTCATTGCGGAGGCTGTAGACGCCAGCCTGTTGCTGCTGCTCCTCCAGCTTCAGAGACTCGATCTCCGTCTTCAGCTCCTTCAGCTGGTCCTGCAGGTGTTTACTCTTCTCCATGTACTCCAGCCTGCGTTAATGCACGTCACGATATCACGCACGAACAGATCTGTACAGTCTTTCTTAAAAAAAAAAAAAAAAAAAAAAAAAAAGTGTTGTTGCAGGGGAGTTGATCTCACCTCTCTCTCTCGATCTCCATAGACAGCCTTTTCATGTCGGAGTCCTTGAAGTCGAGGCGCGACGGTGCCGAATCGTAAGCCAAGTCGGCCGCTTCAGGAGGTGCAGGGGGAGCAGAGTAGGCGGCTATGAGCTGGAAGACGGGCGAACGGATGTCAAGTAAGTAGTAACACAACGTTAAACGTTTATAGTGATATGAAGCTTAACATAATGCATTTTGTATGGCACCGTATCTGCCCTTTGACAGCTTTTAATCTGAGTCACAACACCAAAAGAAAAAACTATTCCTATCCAACTAAACACTTAACAGTTGGTGGTGGTGCACATTGCATTCATGCTTATGTGTTTTGGGTGGGAAAATGCTCATACTTTAGAAATATGTAATATAAATGACCTTTTAAAGATCACAGGTAATCAATGGCCTGAGCTAACTAAATCACTGCACTGAAAGAAGCTGTATTTATGTTTCAGAGATATTCAATAACAACCTTCTAAACACAAAGAAGCTACATTCGCCCACAAAGAGACATGACAAAGGCATCACAAAGAGCACACATGCAGCGGTAGCATCACTGTACAGGGTATGTTGTTTTCGTGATCTCCAGCAGCTTCTGCTTGGCTCTCCGCTCGGCGTCCTTTGCCTCGGTCAGGTCCTGTTTCAGGTGATCTGCCTCCTTCAACCTGGAATCAGAGGTCTGGTTAGCTCGAGGCTGATGGAAGACACTGTTATTAACATGCAGTTAACAGCAGAACACTTTGTGTCTTTCACTTATTCCGGATACATATAACTTTTTAACCAACTAAAACAAGTGCTTTAAGCGACACCAGTCGAGATGGTTCCAGACCTTCTCTCAGACTGCTCCACCAGTTTCACAGCCAGCTGCTCTGCCTCCCTCATCTTCTGCTCCATCAGCCTTTTCTCCTCCTTGGTCTTCATGGCGGTGACCTCTAACCTCTGCCTGTCCTGCTCAGCTTCTGCAGCCTTGTGGGCCAACAGCTTGGCCTCTTCTTCAGCAATCTGAGCCTTCTCTGCCAGCAGGTCTGCGGTCTCCTCAGATCGCAACTAGAGAAAATGCATTGGAACATTTAAAAAAAAAAAAAAAAGCGTTTTTACAAACAAACAGGTAATTTAGAGCTTAGCGTGATGGAGGAATCTGGCTCTGTATCGTCCTTTCAATTAACACCAGGAATGAAAAGCTTGCTGCCCAAACAGGAGCTCACCAAAAAGTTAAAAATGAAGCTCTCACCAGTGCGTCGTTGGCCAGTCGTGCCTCGTCCTGCAGCTGGAAGAGTCTTCGTTCCATCTCTTCCTTTGCCCGCTCTGCTTCCTCTCTCATCTGTTTTTCCCTTGCCAGGATTTGACGCTCCATCTAGATGGATGCCGGGATACTCAATTCAAGCTAAGGCAATCAACCAGGATCCCTGACTGTAGTATACATATGTATGCATGGTGTACAGCACGTCTAATCTGTTATTCTTATTTGTGTGTGTGTGTGTGTGTGTGTGTGTGAGTGTGAGTGAGTGAGTTGACCTTCTTGCGGGCCTTCTCCTCTTTGGCTTGAGCCTTCATCTGTTGCACTTCAATGGAGTCCACCTTCCTCCTCCTCATGAAGAGATCGTGGTTACCGATGCACAACTGCAGGATCTAAAGACAAACCGGCAATATCTTACGTCACATAACTCATCTACTTTGTTATCGTTGAACGTTCACGTGGACAAAGAGGCAACCAACCAGCTTGTTGACCCGCAGTTGAGAGGAGTAGAACTTGAAAACGTCTTTCTTCTTATCCAGGGGTTTGATTGTGAACTGCAACATGGGAGCGTTAAAGGGTTAGTTTCTACTACACTACGGACACAACGTTTTAGCATAGTTTCGACAGACAGCACAGCTTTGTTGCCTTTACAGCCAACTGGTTAAGAGTGAAAATCCCGTACTGAACGGTTGCAGATGTTATGAACAGCTTTATGCGTTCGCAGTTGTCTTTTGCACTTAAAGTCAAAGCAATAATTCTGACCACTGCTTGCATTTACCTCCTTTTCGCTGTAAGAGATGTTGCGGATGCCGCTCCAAGGAAAGGATTTGTTGGGGTTGAGTTTGCTGTTGGGGTTGTAGATGTGAAGACCTTGAGCATCCACTCCAAGTAACAGGTCTGTGTCCCTCTTATTTTGCTGTCAATGGGATGTGTAGGACAAATGCAAACCAACATGACAGTGATGTTTAAGGTTGCAAAAAATGTACTTTAACTGACAGAACATCAAGGCACAGTTATTTACACTCACTGTGATTGCAAAGTAGCTGACACCGTACATCTCGAGGTCCTGAGCAATTTTTAAGTATTCCATCTCGGCCTCATCTCTGTATGGATAGCGTAAGAATAAAAGAAGACGATATGGTTAACACAAGAATCTAGGACGACACGTTTTTTTTTAAAGGGGTTCATTTCTCTTAACATGCCGGATTTCAGAATGATTTCTGGGTCAGCCCTACCTGGCGATGCCTCTGTGCTCTGCATACCAAGCTGTGATCTTCTCTTCCCACATGTCGGCTGTCATTTGGTATTGCATCAAAACCTGCGATACAGACACAGGAAAAAACATTATGTACTGGATGCCTGCACACAGACATTGGCTACCTGCTGTAGCATTAAAGTACACCAGACAGACAAGCAATACAAGTGAACTACAAAAGTCAAATGTGCACATAGTAATGTGAACTTACTCTTTTTGGCAAAAGCTCATCTTGTGCCAGGAAGCCCGGCTTGTGGAAGTTTGGGTCGTAGTCCCCATACTGTGAATGAAAGTGACGGGGAGACTTTTTAAAGCATCAGCTGTGAATTTCAGGTGGACTTTAAAAGGAGAGTATTTTTTGAGCTACAGGAAGGACAAACATGATAGTGGGAGAACATGAACCTTGCAATGCTTTCTTACCTTGGCCTGGACGGCATATGACGCCAACAGAACGGATGCTTCAGGGGAACAGAATATCTCCTCATCTAATATCTGTTTCTTCACCTATACAAGAATTTGAAGAAATGTAAAAACATTTATTGAATTAAGTTTTCTAAAACGTGGAGATGAATTCTCTTTACCTAAATAAAACTGATATCACAATCTCTGAAAGTATTTTGTATTTTTAAAACAATGAGGCCCAAGAAGAGATGCACTAACACTGACTCAAGTGGCTGGAACGGGTATCGTCGACAATGGGGCGATCTAGTGCTATCATTTTAATAAATAACGATTTAGTACATTTATGTATCTCTTTGTAATATTTTGTTTAAGTCAAGCCTGATATTGCCTTAGACATAAAAAGATGATCCTAGTTTCTTCCACAGAGTGACGCATAAAACCTGTTAAACATTGGTGTCAGATCGGTACCCAAAGCCCACGAATCAGTACCGGTCCTGAAAAAGTCTGATCAATGCGTCCTTAGACCAAAGGTTATTTTACAAGACATGTTTTTGGTTTTATTACCTGTAAGAAGAAGAGGTGCTGAGTTATCTCTTGGACCAGCTCTTCTTCTACTTTTTCTGGGAAGAACTTAGCCAGGAAATGAAATGTTATGGGGGAGTCCTTGGGAACCTCCTGGTCCAAGACCTGCGTAAATAAATAAACAGAAGAAGAAAAGTGCACAGTAATGTTTAATAGACCAGCCTCACTAAAGCAGGGATGTCATGTCATGCTTAGTGACACTTTAGGCAATTAATAAACTGAATATCTTTTGCTTTTGGACTGTTTCTCAATTTAAATATGTCACCTTGGTCTCTGGTAAATCGTGATGGTTATTTTTTGTTGTTGTGATTTTTTTTTTTTTTTAGAGACTAAATAATAAATGAATTATCTGACAATGAGTTGCATGATTAGTTGCAGCCCCATAGTTCAGATTAGGCTGACCTTTCACATTCTGGACAACACATACAAATCATCTGCATTGTGCAAAACATTTTAACGACAATTCATTCATTTCTTTGCGTCACGTGTTTTTAAATCCTCTTCACGGGTTCACTCCTTCACTCACCCGTTTCTCTTGTTTCAGCCAGGCGTAGGTGTCCTTCACCGTGTACCTGAGTCCAAAGAACCAGGTCTCCCGCAAACCAACGGTGCGACACACCAGGTCAAACAGGTCTTTACCTTTCCACTTCACCTGAGAACAGTAAGTGATATAGAGAGCAGTGGGTTAAGAGGCTGAAAGACAGTGTGTTGTTGTACAGCTGCGGTTCTATACCTATTTCCTGTTAAAAGCAGCCCAAACATGGACTTATATTTCAACAGAATATCGCTTTACTCGGTGTTAAATCTTGATTTGGCTGATTTTAGAGGGGTTGTTCGGTATCTTTTAGCGGAGGTGTGCCACCTTGCCTGAAATAAAGACCACATTCACTAACACTAAACATCTGTACACTTTATAAGGGGAGGGGAAAAGCAGAGGCACTATTTCACACAGCGTATGCCACGTATTTAATGAGCGTGACTGTCAATTTGAATGTCACCTTCTAACTAAATTGATCACAAAATGAGATGCACCAGAATCTGGGAAGCTTACAACATCTGCTCAACAATTTTCCTGAGGGAAACCCTGACTGATGAGATTCCAAGGAAGTCATGCGGAGTCTTGCACTAAACAATGAATGGTTGTAGATATGAGGAAACATGCTTAAGTCTGGTCTCCTACGTTCAGCACAGGTACTAGAACTTCAGAACTGGTTCATAAGGCATTGGATAAGTCTACACATCGTGACTTTCAGGCCATTCTTCAGTGGGCTTGCGTAAATGAATCCATACCTCACAGCTGAACTCCATTTCAGCATCCATGGTGATTACTTTGACTTTGAACGTCTTCGGCTGTTTCTTCTTTAATCCTAGGATAGACATCTTTAGGGTGTTGCTGTCAACGGAACCTGTGGAAACACATTGGAAGTATTTCAAAACGGGATAAAACATGACATAGAGAAGGATGCGTCCAGTAACTAGAACAAAACAATCCAATGTTGTTTACAAGTTTAAACTTTTTGGAGAGATTGAAGCCACCGTTAACTGACAGTTAACTGAGAGTGGTATTTGAGCTGAAAATAAGCTTTTACAGGGAATACAACACGAGTTACCGTTAGCTTACTTCTTAGTTAAACACAACATGCAGCTAAGTGTAGACAAGGCCCATTACCAGCGAGTTAAGTTACACACGTCTGCCGTCCAACAAGGCTCACAAGGAGGCTGCACTTTTTTTGTTGGGGAGTCCAATGCTAAGCTAACTGATATTACCAGACACCGCTAGCCTTTCAGCTATGCCACGAAAACGCACCAAAAGAAGTTGTAGAAAGAGCGGAACTTTGGAGAGATCTCCATAATGAAATGATTCCAACGGATTTACTTTGGAGCTGTTAAAAGTTGTTTAAAACTTGTAAACCACTTTGCTGAAGTTATCTGTAGCTACGTGCTTTCGCTGGTTAGCTTGCTTTTTACATATCAGGAGGACTTTCCAGAAGATTTTTGTTTTGACTCCGAAGTCACTCTACAGGTGGGAACACGAATAGCAGCCCGGGATAAAGTTAACTGCGCATGTGCACGAATTTGAGACCTTGCCGCGTTCAGTGGTTGTCGGAAATATTGCTTTTCCAGGCGTTTAAGGGCAGGTAGTATGTGGCCATGAATGCAGCACCACGCTGAATGGAACCTACACATCATGATGTATGTAACTAATAAGAGTTGATTTACAAGTATGTTTCTATGAAATGAGTATCTGTGAGTCATAGATATATAAACTTTGGTCATTCATTACCCATTTATTATCTTTTCCGCTCATGTTTGCAGGCCAACCCAGGGAATATATAAAAGCAGGAAGGGTCACCTAGGGTTACCTATAATGAATCAATCATCAAACTGTTAATGTATTAAAACTACAGAAAAACTCCTGTAATCGGTGCTCAAAGTGGGCCAGTCACCGGTTCACAATATACCGGATTCACATTCAGAAGGCTTTTTTTGTGAACAAATAGCTTGTAATGAAAAAATACGTTAGAGTATGAATCTGCTCTATTGATTTACAGAATATGATTTTACAGGGCAAGCATTTCATGAAGGCTGTGATATGTAGATACTTTAATAGTTATTTAACTATGGCAAGTTTAGTCTTCAAGCTTTTTGGGATGTGAAAGTGCAAAAGTCAAAAACCTTCTAATTGTTTTGGGGGAGGACCCTCATACCCAATATCTCCTTGTATCTTTTATTCACTGTAGGAATTCAGAATGCAGCTAATAATGATTGCCTAATAATCCAATTATAAGTAATATAATATAGGTTGTCCGCACTCAGGAGAAGATAATCCTTTTTTAGTCCCATTGCGAGGACACATGCATGCACATCAGTTAAAAAACAAGCTAGTCCTTTAAACATAAACAAACGTTAAATAAGCAAAATATAACTGAACGGTTTGATTCAGATCATTTTTAAATAGGAAAACATAATATTGAACAGTTTAATTGATTGCAGGAGTGAATTGTCCGTTTTCGTATATGTGCAGTCTACTGGGAGCAGCAGGAAAGAAAGACCAGCGGTAATCAAACACCGCGTATGAAGCAGCACGTGTCACTTAAAGAGCTGTTTATAAAGCTACCAAAGTGGCAAGAACGCACGGGGCGAAGTGCAAGACGCGCTTTTTGTAGTCCATCTTCGGAAAATTGTAGCATCATCACGGCAGACGTCAACAACAACCGCCGTCGCATTATAATTACGCAGCTTAGTGAGAGGAGGAGGGGGTGTCTTCGGTACACATTGGTCGTCCTTTCTTACCTCTATCTGAATCCTCCTTCACATTTTCCTTAACTCCACAGGTTTTCTATCGAGTGCAAGGTAAAGTGGTTATAAAAGACATTAGGACGGACTTTTTAGACTTTTCGAACGCACCCCAGATGTTCCACGTAGTAGTTGCACGGTGTACAGCAGGCTACCGAGCTGCTGTTTTCATTCACACTTTAATCTTGAACTCAATACTGCATGTTCTGATACATGTCTTTATTACCACTTGTCTCTGTTTCTTTCTTCCTTTGAACAGGTTTATTTAGTAGCCTGATGGCAGCTGTCAGTAAGACATTTGAACATGTGAAAGCGACCATCTTAGCAGCTCATGAAGGCACCACATCAGGAGTAAAGGTCAACTTCTACAACTCCTGGGCAGAGACCTATGATCAGGTGAGTTTTATAGACCGTAAAATAAGATGAAATGAGCAAAAATATTAGCAGGATTTTTTTTTCTCCAGTTAAATTATAGGATTGTTTTAACTGATATTATTGTGCAGGGAGATATTAAAGGTGTCTTCTACTTTCTTTAAAACTAGCCAAATGTAGATTTGCCGTTCTCATGTTTACCTTCTTTATTGCTGCTTAAAGCCACTGTTTCTTTTTTAATACCTCTTTTGAGTAGGATCTGGCTCTTCTGGACTACCGTGCACCAAGTCTGGCAGTAAACAGCATCTCATCCCATTTCAGCGGTGATCGGGAAGCAGCTGTAGTGTTGGATGTGGCCTGTGGCACAGGACTGGTGGCCAAACAGGTAACTCGCAAGATACATGCTTCTTCTCAGAGTTACCAGAATAAAAATATTCTTTTCTATGAAATATGACTTCTGCGATGATGTCAGTTTTTAGTTACCATGTTCAATTGATTTGACCAGTATGACTGTTAAAAACAAAATGTGTTGTACAGATGAAGAGACATGGATTTGGACATTTTGTGGGGATTGATGGAAGCGAGGCTATGCTGATGTTGGCCAGAGAGAGCGGGTTATACCAGGACCTGAAGCAGTCCATGCTGGGAGAGAGGCCACTCCCGGTCCAGAAGGGTAATGTTATGGTTTAAGTTATGTCACATGGGTCATTCATCTCTTTGACTCAGTAGGTGATCCTCAAGCGGGGTAGGTTAGCCGACTTTATTGACTTATTTTATGATATTATGGTTATTTAATATTCTTAATCATTCCTGTTATTTCCACTACTACTGCAAACGGTCTTATCATCTTCTCCCCGTCACTTCCTCCTGCAGGTTTGTTTGATGTGGTTGTGATCGTTGGAGCACTAAGTGTTGGTCAGGTCCCGGTTGGTGTCGTCAGAGAGTTGTGCAAGTCCGCCAAACCAGGTGAGAATGTGTTTCTTTGGTTTGATGCTGTCTCTATTGCAGTTCTGATTCTTGGTAGTAAATCAGTACCTCCTCACTGTAGGTGAGTTTTAATCAATCGAAAACACCACTTCACTGTGACCTGAATCCACCAGGTGGCCACGTTTGCATGACAACCAGAAGTAACCATACCAACATGGAATACAAAGCCGCCCTGGAGCGTGAGCTGAAGCAGATGGAGGCCGAAGGGCTCTGGACTTGTGTAGAGGTCGCTGAGGTGGAGGACTGGGAGAGAGGGGTGTCAGAGGAGGATGTCGGCTACATATCTGGTGCTGTGTACCTCTATAAGAAACTACAACTATAGCACATTGCACAACAACGAAGATGTGACATCACACCGAAGGTGTACACTATCTTGTGGCTGTGCAGTAAATTCCTCCTAATAGAAAATTATTGTATAAACATGACAACCATGTGATAAACAAAGTTGAAACTTATGTCTGTTTACTGTGTGTCTTTAATGCATTAATATCTGCTGCACATTAATCAATTTAAAAGTTTAGTATGAATATGAAGCGTGCACTTTGTAACTTTGTAACAGAAATATTCAAATAACAGGGGGTCAATTAGATCTCAGGCAACCCGTCAGCCATGAAGGTTTTGTTGTTTAATATCTTACACTGATCACCAGAAAATAATGAAATCTCATATCTAATGACAGTGAATGCATGATTATCTGACCCATGACCCCTGACCATAGTTCAGCAATCTGAAGGACTTTGTTTTGTCCAGATTGAGTTTATTTGGGTTGCCACCAGAGGGACATGGAGACCATATTAACTTTCTGGCCTTGAGTCAAACTATCAAACGCCAGACACGTGTTGTTTTTCCCATTAGTTCAGCCAGGTGAAGTTTGGAGACTATATAAGACGGTTCAACTGTACCACTGTACTTTTGTGAGGACGTGTCACTGGACAATGAGGCTTGTTCGTGGTTTGTTGTTGGTGCTGCTCAGTCTGTGTGGGCCAGGGGCTCGGGGGGAGGGTTTCGCCAAGGTGGGTGAGATCAGAGAGTTTCAGGAGACAGCTCCAGGAGACACAGCTGACGAATCGATCGGGCTGACCACGAAGCAAACCACCCCTGACATCTGGGCGGAGGTCAGGGCTCTGAGACACATGGTGGTGGTGCTTAGGGTGCACCTTCAGCTGCTGCAGAGAGAGAATTCTGGTAAAGACTGGTTACTTTTCCCGTTGAGTGTTCATAATGTTGTCCTTTAACAGTTAGATTGAAGTGTTTCAAGTATATTATTTGAGTATTGGGTCAAAAGAAGGGAGTCAAGATGTTGTATATAATTTATTGTGCATGTTAACAGTTTGCTCTGTAATTGTCTGTCTGTCTGTATAATAATACATTCTAAAAAATCGGTATATTATGGATAAGATCATTTTGCTATAGTAAAAAATCTGAGCTCATTGTGTTATTGAAATTGTTTAAGAAATTAATTTAACTGCTCCAAAAAACGTTTTCTGTTTTTCAGTCCAAGAAACTCGACTGACTGCTGCCGAGAGCAAAACCAGCGACCTAGAAAGACAGAATGCAGGTATTTCACTGAAGTGTTTAGTTTAATACTTTTAAAGGTTTGCTATTTTCTTTTCGGTTGTATTAATTTGTTGAAGGTTTCATATGTACATCATTGAATGTAATTTTAGTTTCGGCTTTTTTAAAACGAAAAAGAGCTTAAAGAAAAGAGCATTGAAAATGTTTCCTTATTTAAGGTGTTGGACACAAATTTGCCCTGATGATGGTGCTAGATTGAAAATTAATAGATTAGGTTTTTGGACCTTGGATCTGGGTGTGATCTACAGAGATAAACTAGATTATTTTGTGATCAGGATTAAGGATAATTTGATCAATTTTTTTTAATGTTTTTAACTTTTTGCAGTTTAGTTTTTTAAGTCTGTTATTTTTGTTTTTATTTGGTGTTTGTGTGAAACATTTAAGCAGCCATCTTGACACAACCTTACTTGCGACAAGTAAACAAGGTGCATGGAGAAGGGAAAGCAGTCCTAAACGGTCAAAAACTCCAGCAACACTCAAAGTATTAAAAACAACATTATTAGTTAAAATTAACCAAATGGCTTTAGGTGCCTACACTTAACCAAACATTAACCACACAGCTGTCAGATGAGAGATGAGAAATGACTAATGCGAATCAATTTTAACATTATGTTAATGGTTGTTTTGGACGGCTCCAACAAATGACCTATTTGGTCAAATAGGCATGAGGACTTGTTGGACAGTGAGAGTTAAATATGGTTTAAAGTTTGGGGTACATTTTTGATTACTGGTTCAACAGATAAGATGAGAGTCAATATGTACATAATTTGTTGTGCATGTAAACAGTTTGCTCTGCTCTGTAATTTTCTATCATTGCATTAACTCCAGACTTACAGACCAGAATGAGCAGCGGTGAGAGTGAACTTCTCGTTAGCAAGTCCATGATTGACCAGCTGGAGAGAGAAAATGCAGGTGATGAAGTGTGTCAGGGAGCTGATGGACTTGTTGTGAGCTCCAGGTTAAGGTTAATGACATACATTGACCTTTTTTTGTGTTAACAGAGAAACCAAAGGTGGCCTTTTACACAGCTCTTACTGATGCAGGATATGTTGGACCACACAACACAGACATCACACTGAAATACAGCAAAGTCTTCACCAACATTGGCAGTGCTTACAGTCCAGCTACAGGTAATGCTTCAGGACACATGGCCATGTAAGTCTACAGGAATCAATTATTATTGCTTTTCATTTTCTACTCTTACTCTGTAGGTTTCTTCACAGCACCAGTCAAAGGGGTCTACTATATCCAGTTCACTGTGTGTGGTAACCACACAGGTCTTATGGGTGTTTATGTGTACAAGAACAACCAAAGGATCATGTTTAACGTGGAGTGGAAGGAAGATAGACTTTACAAGTATTTCACTAACTCTGCTGTCTTGGAGCTGATGGCAGGAGACGAAATCCACCTGGTTCTCCCATCAACCTATTCTCTCTATGACGATAGAGATAACCACAACACCTTCAGTGGCACCCTTCTCTTCCCACTGTAAGCATGTCGTTTAGGCTGCTGTGCGATTCATTTGTCACAAACCCTGTTGTTATTGGCTACACTGATTATGAAGCTGACTTGCTTTTTGTGTCATCACATGAAAACATTTAAATGAATTTAAAAAAGTGATTATATTCATATAGAAACATGAACTCCACTGATGTTCAAATACTAAAACTGTTTAACGGTTCACACTAATAAATGAATTGCACAAAAAAATAGACCCTGTGAGTGTTGTTGTAACAGGCTACACAACCAATTGTTACGAAGACATAATGTTAAAGTGGCATTTTAAAGTTGGAGCTGGTTGTGGTGGAGCTAATCCTAAACTTTACATACTGTCGGGTAGTTTAACAATTAACTGATCATGTGCAAACTCTGAATTTTTGCGTTAATTGATTGACTATTACCTCTTCCACTCTGTAAAGCAAGAGCCTGGAAGACATTAAAGTCAGACTTTTTTTTTTTTTTTTTAAAGTTCCAAAAAAAAAGAAATTTCTATTACAGAATGACTTTAAGGGCCTTTTGCTGCATTAACGGTGTCATTGGCAATGATGGATCCGCTCGGATGAGATTATGATTACACACAAAAAAGGATTTTCTAAGAACTAAAGAAGAGTGAAGGAGATAAGTGGATGAGGGAGAGGGTTTCCCTTACGGACTCATCACAGCGTGATTCCCAGCAGCCATGGGAATATCAGGTTTGGGAGAGTGAGTATCATTCAGAGAGTTCATTTTCCCCAGAGATGAGTTTGCGTCCTCTTTAACTATTGAGACCCTGAGACAGTTTCTCCCATCTGTTTCAACTGTGATCGGTCCCATGGCATTTGGCAAACGGATTAGAGTAATAGGAGAGCAGGGGCAGCGGTACGTTTAGAGACTGTGAATTGCTTTCGAGGCAGCGGCGACTGAAGAGGGAGGGCTACAAAGACATAAAGGAGTGAAATCACGTCCTAGTCGCAGAAAGAAAGAGAGAACAGACCTCTGAGAGGGTTTTGCTGTGAAGCCATTAAAAGGAATGAAATAATTGGATGCTGGAGGCCTCGTCTCAGCAAAAGCAAGAATGCAAACCCCGTTCTTCCCGTGAGTGTGAGGCACGTGGAGGAGGTGAAGTCAGGAGACGGGAGTTGTCATCCAGTAAAACCACAACCGATATTTTATTTTCACACATTCAATATAAACAGAATTAGGGCCGTTTTTTTCTACAGAATTGTATCTTAGCAAGAAGCCAAGTTATACACAGGAGCTACACACACTGTATTGCTTCTTCAGAGATATTGATCCTTTCATGGCTATTCTGCTCCACTGCAGATGAAAGCGAGCTGCTTCCCTGCCTGCTATCGCCACGGTGAAATTGGCAAGGAATGAATGAATGCCTGAGAAACCAATGGAGACAGAAGAGTTTAATTCAATCCCACAACCTATTCTTGCCTCAATTGGGCTATGGTTTAAAGAACAATAGGACAAGAATGGGCAAGCTTATTCTCATTCATCTTCATTTAGTTTATGGTAATTGAATGGAGCCGAGTTGAGGTTATTTGACCCATATTTCATTCAAACATGTCATCACTTTGATTTAAAGTTTGTGTACAATTCGTGGTTAGCGCTGGCTTAGATACTGAGAACCAAAGTCCAAACTCCTGAAGGCATCAGTTTCATTCTCTATCATCCATCTCCTCGCTCTAACAAAAATAGATAAATGTAGATATTTCCCCAAATGAAGAAGGCTGAGGACAATTCTCCGCGATGATGACATTTGAAAAAAAAATTCTTCTAACAGTGCACTATTTTTGGACTTTTCTTGGATTTAGTGTCAAAAGTCATATTTAGGATTAGGTTCAGCTTAGGGTATAATGTCCTGCATTATAGGGATTTAAAGAAATAGTTCCATATTCTGGGATTTATGTGTTTTCACTTTCTTTCCAAGGGTTGGACGAGAAGGTTGAAACCCATGTCATGTTTGTGCGTTCAGTATGTTGCTGGAGAATGGAGTTGAAGCTTGCCTGGCTCGCTCCTAAGTTTAAAGGAGCTGTATAAAACATTCAGAGCATTAATACATCAGCAAAAAGATATAAGAAAAAATATAGTGGAGTAATGTCCTGAGCAGACAATGAAGACGCTCTGACTCCGTGTATGTTGTTATCCAAGCTTCTCCTTGCTTTGTTGACAAGCTCAGGCAATCAAGTTCCTCCCAATCTCGGATGTTGTACCTTTAAGTGTAAAAACTATAATTGTATTTGTTCTGATGGTGTACCGGTTCAATATGTAATTAATAGCTGTTCACAAAGCACTTATGATTGTTTGTATCCAAATGTCCACATACCTGGCACAAAGTCGATATACAAGCTGGTTTGATGGCTGCTCATTACAAACATATGCATATGCTCATACTGTGTGTGTGTGTGTGTGTGTGTGTGTGTGTGTGTGTGTGTGCTTGCGTGCACCGTCTGTACCTGGCAAGGTCAATGCTGCACACCAGTCATCTGGGCCTATGGGGTTTCTCTAATCTGACAAACTCCAGCAACAGTTGACTGCACGGAACACATGGTAGATGCAGACTGTCTGTTTTATATCTGCAGGGCTTGTTTCAGTGAGAGTTATGTGTGTTTGTGTGTTATGTCTGTATGCGTATTTCTTTGTCGAGACAAAACTATATACATGCCTTCTGTAACTACTCTGCAGCCTCAGAAGGGACTAACAGGCTACAGAATGACAACTTTATTTTTTTTATCCTTCCCATTTGGATTGAGTCAGCGAGAATAACAGGAGAAATAGATGCTTTTATTGATTTTATATATAGATATTTTCTATGATTCAAACAGGCCGTTGTAGAGTCTTTGTGTTGGTGTAACACAAAGACTGAGTGGCTTCTTTAGCTGGTAAACTTTGTCAATGAGATGCAAATCCATGCAGCACTGAGGGAGAAAGCCAAAAGAGCTGGGCTACCGCACGCACTCAATCACACGCACGCACGCACAATATTAAAGCCTAGCTTTCTTCTTCAAATGCTTCAAACAATACATGCATTCCCTGAGACACTGCATTGTAAAAATGTTTTTCATCTTGACAAGTCACTTAGTGATTCACACACCGTCGATGGCAGCTGCAGCACACAGAGCCGTCTGGGCAGTCCTGTGCACAAATTGAATCAAGCCCAATCAACCTCACACAAAGCAAACATTCTGCAATACAGGTATTCCATGCGGGGCCTTATTCAATAACAGGAGAATTATATTCCAACACATGATATTTCCATTCCAAAAGTTCTCGGTAAACTCTGTCGAATTGAAGTGTTATTGGATTTAGTTTGTACATTTTCACAATTGATGGTACATTCTTCATGTAGGGACTCTTTTATACTGATGAGAATCCTGGTAGCTGTAGCAGAAGCAATAAGTGTAGATTGTCTACACTTACTGTATTGTAAGTGTAGACAATTATTGTAATATCAGTGGGCGTAAAAAAGTTTTAATATCCCCCCCCCCCCCTCTGCTACTGTTGGACTTATACTGAGATCAGATGACACTATAGTTTTTTTAGATGGTATTAACGTCAGATTAGGCCGTCATAGAGATATAAATCCATGCTGTCACAGACAGACTTTACCGTCCCGCCTGATAGCACCAACATTGTTTACGTATTAGTCATGGTTATACAAATAAAAGTGAACTTGGAACCATTTATTGTCCCTCGTGGTGAAGATGGGCTCTGTTATTCCCTCTCCTGTAGCATATCATGTGCAGAGGGTGACCTTGCACCCGCAGTTGATTCCTATGCTTGTCAACCAAGAGTGACAGTCAGGTGGTTACAGTTTCACTGAAATGAAATCAAACAGCCGTCCTCAGAGGCTTGAGTGATGTTTAAGTCACATGTACGTCATGTTTTATTTGCTCAGTCTGTTTCCTTTGCACTTTTCCACGGAAATTATATTGCACCTAAAAGATAGGTGGACAACTTCATAACGCACTTCATGTGATAAAACGAGCAATTGTCATGTCAAACTTTCATTTCCGTTTCCATAGTTCCAACATATTTGGATCTGATCCCTGCGTTAGTCTTCTATCCCCTTGGGGAAGCACCTGACTCATCATAATTTACCATCGGTGCAACTGTGACAGCTTTACAACAAGTCATCCTATATAAAAAGAAACAAGCCATATGGTCACTGCTCTGTGATTGGAGGTCACTTTGTGTTTTGCTCTGCTCCGCAGATCTGGTGAAGGTGACGGCTGTGTCATATTAAATATTGATCTTAAGTGTGTGTGAGCTTATGTGTGTTTTTTTTCCCGGTGCCTGTAATGGATTTATCTAAAAGCTTTATAGCATCTATGAACCACAGGTCATTCTTTGATATCAAGTTAGTAATTTGCCAGCAGCTTGTTTAATATTTGATGTCTTCTCCCTTCTTTGAATGTGAGTGTGTGCGTTGTGTGTCATGCATTCAACAAATATTAGTGGATCGATTCTCATTTGTGTGGACAGCCCTTCAATGTGAAGGTTGAGTCCTCCTTATGTCTGTTCTGCAGCTCACCAACATGAAGTCACACTGTTGATTTGACGATGGATCAACAGGACAGGATACTGTCAAACCAGAAGACAGTGAGGCACCTCTGACACTCACAGCATCATGTGTTTGCTGATGCCATTTTTAATGCATTTTGTTTGGTGTGCACTCTAATTTTCAGCAAGGGCCAGGATATTTTTAGAACTTGTTATTGTGCAAAACCGTTTTTACCGTAAGTTGAACATAACGGTTCAGTTAAACTTTCTTTGAGTAAACAGTTTCAGGCTTCACTTTCTTTTTCCTCTGGATCACTTTTGCAAATTCAATTGAGGATAGAAATGTGGTTTTACTATCATCTATCATTTATTTGTATTGTTGTGCTTCATTATCACTTTACAAAGTCTCTCTGTGTCCATTATTACATTCTATTTGTCTCTCCTTACAAATTCAGCCACACATTGACTTTTACTACTCTTTTAACTTTCCCATCTTCAATAGTCAGGAATAAGTTTTGATTCAAATGTTGAAATATATTTTCATGGTCTGTAGCATGATAGATTGTGCTTTATGTATTTTACCCTCTTAGAAGGGTCCTGTTAAAGCGGATAAATCGATAGTTTTTGAATCAAATATTAATGTGAAAGTGGTCACTGGTGGTGATGAACCTACAGAGGACTATCATATGACTGCAACATGACTA